TAGGTGGCAGTAATTTACATGTAGAGTCAGCGTATCGCTAAAACAAGAGAAGAAAAAGCAAGTGTAGTGAGTTGCTTTTATTCGGGTGTTTTATCGAATTTGTTTTGTTTTTATACTTCGGTAAAATGTCAAGACTGGATAAGTTGCATTCTAATCTGATGAAGCGAATGTCAATTATCATTCGTGAGATTTGGGTGGAGGTGGAAGCGACGGTGAATGACTATCAAAAGGAAGCAGCCCAAACACGATCAGAAAACGCGAAGCTGAAACAACAGCTGAGTGATGTTCTGAGGAGGAATCAGGCACATTTAAACGGTAAATTCACTCTTAAACAACCCAGGCTGGGTGCATTTTACCGTTAACGGGATTTTAATTGTGAAACTTACTGACACAGAAGCGTAGAAGCATTTATTTACCACTAAGTTTCTGTCACCTCACTCGTCTAGCCCTTCACTGTCGTATCCAGCAATTACAATCATACAACAACAATAATATAATTTTTAACATAGTCTGTTGAATGGATATTTATCAATTAATTGAGGATAATAACACATTTATATTCAGAAAAAGAGAGGGGGAGAGAGAGAGAGAGAGAGGACAGTGGCCACAGCCGCAGGGCCACACGGAGAGGAAAGATGTTATCTGAAAACTTGACTAGTCCAGCACAACCATGTTAAATGATCGCTTTTACTGATTTCTTTGTTTGTATTATTAAGTTATCAGTTATGTAATGTCAGTGTGTGGACGTGAATTTATTAAAAGCAGGTAAATCTATAGGAATTTGTAATCCATACATTAAATATCTTTAATTATGATGATGTTGTTATTTTGATTGCTAGATACGACAAGACCAGTGAGGTGACAGAGTGGAAAAGAAATCTTTTTTTATATATATATATATAAATAATGAATAGAGTAACGAAATCAATCAAATCAGGTATGTATAGTTATAAACAACTATTCAAACATACATTTGCTGAACATATACTACTACATTTCAAATATTGAGGGTTATTAAATTGTTTTTATAGAAATTCATACTTCTATTCAGCACAAACACATTAAATTAGTTCAAAGTGACAAAACAAGAGTTAAGACATTTGTAATGTTGCAAAAATATATGAATAATATGTATGAATATGAATTAATATATGTATAAATATAACTTTTTTTAATCAAAAATCCTGAAAAAGTGTTAAGCAGCACAACATAGATAACAATAAGAAATGTTTCTTGAGCATCAAATCATAATATTAGAATGATTTCTGAAGGATCATGTGACACTGAAGACTGGAGTAATGATTCTGAAAATTCAGCATTGACATCACAGGAATAAATGACATTTTAGAATATATTACAATATAAAACAATAATTTTACACTATTAATAGTATTACTGTATTTTTGATCAAATAAAGGCAGCTGTGGTAAGCATAAGACATTCATTTCAAAAACTAAGATTGCAACCCCTAACTTTTGATTAACCAAGAAAGATTCCTGTGTGTGCGCAAGTACACTTGGCAATCTTTCTGATTCTGATTGAATGGTTGTAACCCAATGCACAGGACAATGGTAACACCAGAATAAAAATATTTATGATTCTGAAGCTGAAAACAGAATTATTTTAGACGAATATGCTTGCACTCTGTCACTGACTAGATGTATTTAAAATGTTGGCTACTTTTTACTGGTAACGTAAGACATTTGGCATTATCAGGACCCATAAATATTCCCCTATTGCATTATCCTCCATCATATTCAACATTATATAGTAGTTTAAACTTGATTTTTTTTTTCATGCACAGTAATTTTCATTTTGCGTGACCTGTACACAATACATCTTGTCACTATCCACGATACATATTGTTGCATTTTTGTATTGCGATATATTGTGGCAAGATATATTATTACACCCCTAGTGAAATGTAATTCTGCAGTAGCGCTTTTAACTTTGACACCAAGCAGTCTGTCAAACAGGTTTCAATTGGATAAAACTTTCAGCCATTGCAAATATTTACTTCTTCCATGCCCAAAAAGGTCACTCTGTACATCCTTATGTTGCTTAGAACTGATATCCATATGTTTGTATGCTTTTCATGAATATAATAATAATGACCCTAGCTTCTCTTAAAATGACCAATACTGCAACTAAGAACTGAAGTAAGTACTATTAGGGAATGCTGTTTTTTTCATCTTTTCTTGCTTTCACCACACAGGACAAGTCCACTATGTCTCTCCTGATAAAGCCTCATCCACAGAATTGCCATCACGTGGGTACACGTCTCCAATTGAATCGGAAGACCTTGAGGATCAGCAAACGGAGGCCGATGACCAGAGTCAAGATTCACCTAGTGAACCGAAGCCACGCATACTAGATGCCGTTTCATCCTGTAAGACCGAGGCAGAGGACAGGGAGTCGGCCCATCAAAAAAATGCGGGTGAACGACTCTTTCCTCAGTTCGACAGCTCGAGTGCGGATGAGACGTGGGATGTGACCTTGCCCACTGTTTCAACACCAAGGATTAAGATTGAGCCCGAGGACACCATCATCACAATAACATCTTCAGTTACTACTACCCCTGTCCATGCCGGTCCGTGTCAGGACTCAGAACCCGCTCACCAGCTGAGAACAGCCAGTGACACCTCAACCACGTTGAGGAGACTGCAGCGAAAGGATCGCCTTCGCACACGATTCACCAAACCTAGGAGGGCATCAGCGAAAGATCAGGATCACGAAGGACCATATAAGTGTAATAAATGTGGAAGGCAGTTGAAGGACTTTGCAAAGCTGCAGCTCCACAAGAAATTACACGATAGATCCTTCATCTGTCACTGGTGCGGCAGAAACTTCTCCAAGTTTGACTACCTTCGGATGCATATGCGCACACACACCGGAGAACGGCCTTACCGCTGCAACTGGTGCTCAAAGACCTTCAGCCAGAGCGGGAACATGAGGAGACATGAGCGCACGTGTCAGAAATTCAATGAAGAACAGGCAGCGCATACTTTTGAAGAAGACCAACCGCTGTCCGCAGAGTGACCAGTGCATCGTTGTTGACAGATCGCTGCAGGCGCACCTCGAGAAAGAACCCCGCATTGTGATAGATATATTGGGATTTTTATTACTTTAAGGATATTAGAAGCTTCCATGTTACATAAAAAATACAGAAGACCGGTATGCTGTTTGACTAACAATTTTATGACATTTCCAGGCTTCGCTTTTCCACTTTGAGGAAGACCACTTTGTGTTTTGTACAGAGTACCATGAGTTACCATACCTCCAGACTGATGTTGACTATTATAAATACTCCACAGAGAGCAGTATTTAGCCTGAAATATTTTTAGGCAGTAGATAACTATAAAAATGTATATTCACTAGAAAGGAATGAATTTTAAAATTGTATTAATTTCCATTATTTTTCAAGGCCTACACATCAACATTTTAAAATTCAAGGTTTTTAGTGACTGCGGGAATCACTGAGAGGACAAGTTAAATATAAAATAGCATATTAGGAAATGAATCAATGTGGTAGACTGAACAGTAACATTTACTTAAACTGAAAGATTGTCAAAAGAAAATTATGTAATTTTAGAAAATCATGACTGTCTAACATGTTTAAACAAGGAACTTTGTTGTATGTAACAACAAACACTTGAATAAACTAGATGAAATGTAATTTGACATCTCAGTTATTGTATCTGAGGAACATGTTAATGTGGACATTGTGAGGATACTGTATGTGTGCATAACTATGGATCTTGTAAATATTTTACTTGTCATTTAGAACATGTTGTTCTAATTAAATCTGCAACTTTTAAGTACCGCCCAAAACTAATCGCTATGGAAAAATAATTGCAATATAACTGTGTTGATTAGAGGTTTTCAAAACTTTTTAATGACTTGGAGTTAAATATGATTTTTTCCAGTGGAGTAGGTTTGATTTTGGTGGGGACGGGGACAACAATTTTCTTTGCGTGGGACCCATTTCTTAACTATATATATATATATATATATACAGTGCCTTGTTAAAGTATTCGGCCCCTTGAACTTTTCAACCTTTTGCCACATTTCAGGCTTCAAACATAAAAAACATATAAAACTGTAATTTTTTTATGAAGAATCAACAGGTGGGACGCAATCATGAAGTGGAACGAAATTTTATTACATATTTCAAACTTTTTTAACAAATAAAAAACTGAAAAATTGGCCGAGCAAAATTATTCAGCCCCTTTACTTTCAGTGCAGCAAACTCTTTGACCTAAATGACTAAAGATGATAAATAGAATCCGCCTGTGTGTAACTGAGTCTCCGTATAAATGCACCTGCTCTGTGATGCACAGAAGAACAACGAACCCACCAGACAGGTCCGAGATAATGTTGTAGAGAAGTTTATATCCGGATTTGGATGCAAGATTTCCCAAGCTTTAAACATCCCCAAAGAGCACTGTGCAAGTAATAATATTGAAATGGAAGGAGTATCAGGCAAAAGTTTGAAATATCCAATAAATTTCATTCCACTTCATGATTCTGTCCTTCCTGTTGTTGTTGTTGTAAATATATGTACATTCAATCTGGAAAATTATTTTCATTCTTACTTTTAATTAAGATGAAATTGTATCATTTATTTTACATAGATAAACTTAAAGAGAAACATAAAATATAGACTAAAGAGCCACCATGAATCTCATTATTATTATTTTTACAATATTTGAACTCTTTAGTGGAGCCCCTAGAATCTCCTCGAGGCCACAGTTTGAAAACCCCTGACCTCCACCCAACTTGACTTGTTTGTTTGGCCACCGACAACTTATGTCAAGTCAACACTGAAATATTTGAAAACCGTGCTTAATCTTGTATCTAAAAAGAACACCGTTTAAATAGTAGGGTTTTGTGTTGACTTCCACTCTAGCAGGTTTGCTTCCCTCCCACTAATAATTTGCATAATGCCTTTTGCTCTGCAGCCTGACGGTAGCACTACTTCTCCTGTGCAGTAGGTGGCAGTCAGTCGTTTCCTGCTGCCTTTATCCTTTGCGATTAGGAGGCGAACGGCAAACTGTGTTCATGCAACTGGGATAGTTAGCCGTTTCAGTGGTTTCTCTTTGCTGCTAAATTGCAAAGATAAAACAGCCACAATGACGAAACTACAGCTTCTTCACCGCGCCCTGAACGAGCGTCTGATGGCCGCGGTGGAGCAGATCATGGAGATGGTTGGCGGGACTGTGCTGGAGTACGAGGAGGAGACGATCCGGGCACGGAAAGAAAATGAGATTCTGAGACGGAGGCTCCGATGGATGGAGGGGGCCAATCAAGCCGACTGGCCAGGTACGACGACACCGGGATTAATGTAGTTGTTAACGAAAAATATGGTGAAAGACTTATAGCAATATGTGACGAAAACTTTGGGGGGCGGAGACATGGTTGCTACTTGCTAGTGCTACACAGTTTTGTGCTCTTCAGCCTATATGGACTACCGCGGGTTATTTGTTGGTGAGATAGTCTGCGTGCATTCAGCTTCTCGTTTTCCACTGCAATCCATGATCATTATACAGGAAGTGAAATATTTGCCATCAGGTCCGTATGATTGATCGCAGCTGCATTAGACCGAAGTAAACATAGTGTGTTTTGTATGCCTGTTGTTTTCCATCCAAAAAGTGGAGGCCGGTGGCGCGCAGAATAGAGAGACCCCCTCTAGAGTTCACTGGAAAAAAACTTCTCCAGTCAAAAACTAAATATGAGACTAAATATATTTTGCATTTCCTTTTGGGTTAAATCAGTACATTTCATCTCCTACAGCTTCTTAGTTTCTTGGGCTGATAGCAGAAATCGTACTTGATCTCATCAAATTGTTGCTGTTTTTTTTTTTTTTTTTTATAATTCTCAGGCCCATCAGAACCCATTACGCTTTCCATCCCAGATGAGTCCAATCCATCCCCACAAGATGAGAGTGCTGTCAACTTTGGATTTGGACAAGAGTCAGAATCACCTATAGTCAAAACAGAGACTGCTGATCACCCGGTGTACGGCACCACCACATTACCTCAAAACATTGATCAGGGATCCGACGTTGCTGGGACAAGCACTGGTATTTCCTATGGCCTGGCTGACGGTATGACCTGGGACTCAGGCCAAAGTTACATGGCCCCTCTGGACTTTGATCCAACTTCGGGTACCACCAGGGTCAGGCACTGGAGAGGGTACAACAGAAGGCAGAGGATGTCCTTTGCCTGTCCAGACTGTGGTAAAGTCTTTGGAAAGGAACAGAGGCTGTTGATTCATATGCGGATCCATTCCTCCGAGAGGCCGTACAAGTACCGCCGGCGCAAGGCGTTCTTCTACGGTGACAATAAGAAAAAGAAGAAACAGCTAGCCCTTTCTCAGGTAAACATCAGCACGGTAATTGAAGTCAACATGACAGAATTTACACTTTTTCATTTTTTTTCTCATTGGGAAGCAGAAGCATTCTGTTTTTCTGCCTCATTTGTCACATTGAATATACTGATTCACTCTGAATATGTCGTTTTTAGTTATAAAATGCCTTACAAATGGCATTTATTATTCACTAGGGTTAGGGCACAATGTAACAGGACCATATTGGTTTGCCAATATTATCAGCATTTTATTTTTATCCATACAAGCTGATATTTTACATTTAATTGTACTTGCCCAATGCCCACCTTTTACTGTAGGTTACATTCAAAAATAATAATAACACCTGTTAAATTTAATTTTAGCGAATACAATAATGAATTATACTGTGCAAGGCATTATTGTGTTGTTGTGATGCATTGTGATTTTGACAAAATAGTATATCAGTTTTTATTTAACATTGAATTTTTAAATATCTTAAATATATAGAAAACTAAAAAATAAAGTTCTTTAATTGTAAATTGAAGAGGTGCTAATATGGTAGATTAGTAATATACCTTGTGAAAAAAACTCCACTGTATGGGAGGACTAATAAATGCATGCTTAATGCCAGTGTTGTTTTTCTCTTACGCACAGCTATCAAGAGGAATAGAGGATGATCTGTCAGATTGCTCTGAGCAAACCAACAGGAGTAGCGCATCACCTGAACAGCTAGCACCAGACCAAAAAGAAAAGCCAGCCAGCATGTCTACTGAGAGTGACCACAGCAGTGATAAAGAACCAGAAAACAGAACTACTGCTCCTGTGCAAAATCAAAGGAAAAAAGATAATAGAGCAAACCAGATGGAGGTTCATTGCCCTCATTGCCCCAATCGGGTGTTCGCTCGGCCCTGTCAGTTAGCCATGCACATGAAAACCCACACGGGCAAAGCTCTTGTAAAGCGTCCGGATGAGATGATGGATGTGAAGATGAAACCACCCAAGGTATTGCACTTCATGTTCTCTAGTGTAAGAAATAGTGTTTGTAGATATGAGTACATGGATATTTTCTTTCCCTCACACATAAGCCCTATTAAGGAGGATGTAAAGAAATAAATCAGTCATTGAAAAAGCTATCATTAACCATTATTCTGAACATTTTGGGTGATGTGCAGGACAGATTTGGGCTTTGTAAACATTGTGTGACTGATCACTGAAATTTAAAACTGCCGTATAATGTTATTTAATACAATAAGAGGTCAAAAAAGTAAAACAGACACAGCTAGAGGTCTCACACCACACAGTTCGAAGTATTGTTTGTAGGGGTGGAAATCTCTACTAGGCACCTCACGATTCGGAGAGCTGCGATTATCGATTATCTGAATCTTTTTGTGTGTGTGTGACTATAAATACTTTGCTTTTAAAAGTACAAAGTAATGACACATAAAGAATTAACGTGCAATATATTTTATTAATATTGCGAAGAACCAACAGGAAAATAAATGTGTGCCTGAACTAGGTGCATACTTGTAGTAAAGTAATAATATAACAACGACCGGTACAGCCGAGTGTTTTTCCTCCTCTGGCTGGAAACGTGTCAAATGGCTTCTCATATTTGTCGTGTTTTCGAAATATTTTAGTTTTATTCTACAAAGCTCACAACTAGTGTGACAACCTTTCCCCCTTCAACTTCAGAAGCCAAAATATTTCCACATATCAGCTTTTAACGAGAGGGTGTTTGGATTTGGCGCACAGCTCTGTTATGTGCACGCCACAGACGGTCCGGGCACTGCACATCCGCGCTTCAAAATTCCGTCTTTCGCGTTCCATCAATAATACGCGTTCCGTCAATAATCGATTTTTTTTTTCTTCCCCCACCCCTAATTGTTTGACCAAGTTGGGTTTTTTAATGGCTGATGCTGATACCTAGAAAGTAGGTTGGCTGCTGTTCAATAATAACATATTGTCCAAGAACTTGCTGAAATGAGCAGAAAACTTGTTTTACACAACATTTACTCAAAATTAGCAAAAAAAATGTACATTTTATTTAATAGACTTTATATACTGTCCAGAATTTGTGGGGGATAAGCACATCATAGTTATTGGTTGATATCTCAAAATAAGCAAATAGTTGCTGATTAATTGGTCTTGCTCTGGCCAATATCTACGTTTTCGACATTATGTTTGAGAAGTTAACTAATTGGCACCAAAGTGTATGAAAAATGACCTCTCCATAGTAGTTCGATGAATTCTAAGACAGTGAGCGCTTATATTAGGATGAAGCGAACACGTTTGTACAGCTACAGCCAATCTACGAAGAGAACAAGAAAGCAACTACTGAAGCGGATGCAGTTTAAACGGTGAGTTTGAGGTCAAAATTGAAAGTTCTGAAAACAAGAGCTGGTATGTTTCTCGAAACACACAGTTTATGCAAACAAATGTCTGCGACTGCTATGTTACCTGAGGAGTTGTTATTTGATTTGGGATCAAATTGTTTGGAGCCTTTGTGCATAACAATCAAATCAGCTATAGGTCTAGCTAAGTAATCATGTTCATTTTTCTTCCAGAGAATGTATTTTATGGAATAAGCTTGAAGAGTGGATTATGGGTTTATCAAAAGCTGAATTGAACAACAATGGAATTGTACCGTAATTGTACCAAATGTATCTACTACATTGCTAGTTGTCTACTACACGGAAAGAAGGAAATGCTGAGGGAGGTTTATCATTACAAGGCAATCTGTCATTTGCATTCTATGGAAATAAACAGGAAGTAATATTATAGCATTAGTTGCATTTATCTGAAAACATTGACTGGTTATAGCAGCAGATTTTAGTGAGAGGATGGATCAAGCACTATTGATTATCGTATAGTTGTAATATATAGCATTTTATTCAACTGCTGTTTATCATTGACAGATTTTTAAATCATGCGATGTTTAGAAGACCATTTATGAGAAAATAGTTATTTTCTGTGGTGCATCCTGGGGGACCCCTGGTTGAATACCCCGGCTATAAAGCATTAAAACTACAGTAGTCAACATTTGAACTTGAATTTTGAACAATACCTGTTGTCTTCGGACAACTTTGATTTACTTTTTTGACCCACTTGGGTTAGGCAAATGTTGACTAAGGCAGTATTACCAGTGAGCCGAAGAACATGCTGTTATTATTAAATTCTTTTTGTTACTATCAAGTCGATTATTATTATTAAATGTTTGGATAATTTTATTTTTATATGTCTGCTTTAACCCCTGCATTTAAGTTATTCAAGCCATTTCTACAACTGATTCAGTATGTTTTATAATATATTAATGTTATATGTTGTTCTATAATATATTTAATGTATCAAGTATCACAGCTAAAGTTTAACAGAAAGCTTATGCATGTTTTTCTCATTGATTCACAGGTGACGTATGGACCGCAACGCTGTTTTAGCAAAGTTTGGGACTACTTCTCAAAAGATGCGTTTGGCGAAGTCATCTGCCATCAATGTGCAGCCAGAGTTAGCCAGGGGTCCAGCAAGGCTTCTCAGAAGAACACCTCTAATTTGTGGTCTCATCTTAGAATAAACCATCGACATGCTTTTTTAGAGGCGAAAGGGTTCAGCCGACAATATGCTGATCAATACAATATGCCGGTCAATATGCTGATCAATACAACACAGATTAAATTGGAGCCTTTTGAGCCAGATGAACATGTTGCAGAAGGAGAAAATGAGATAATGAAGGTCTTGATGCCAGAAGAACCATAAAATGGAAATTTGTAAATATGTGTATAATAAAAGTAGAAAATCACTGTTTTACATGTATACAAAATAGAAAATCACAACCTTTTTTTATTTTTATGTACCATTTGTGTATATATACAGTGCAGTTGAAATGCTGTGATTTTAATAAAATTAGTTTGAAATGAATTGTTTTTCAGTCATTCGAGTCATTTCTGTGGGTGGTTTGGCGGTTTACAATAATATATTTTCATCGAAATGCTATGAGATTTTGGTGTCAGTGTATGTTACTTTCAGGTCCACTGTTAAAGACAACGTATAAATATGCGGTGACTTTGTATGACTTCTGTAAAACGCACAGCCATTCATTCACTTTCACATCCAGGGCATATTACACTTGGTGCTCATTGCATGTGGATTTCCTTGCTCCTCTCATTGTCAATTGGACTTGCATTTCTTTCAGAAGAAACTAAAAAATGATTCAGTGAAGAAGGCCAAAGTTAAGGGCAAAAGGCAGTTCCATTGTCCAGAGTGTGACAAAGCCTTCAAACTGGCAAACAATTTGTGTTTCCACATGAAGACCCATGAGGCTGAACATTCTCGGCCAACTCGCAAGATGCCAATCCAGACTGAGGTACCTGCTTACACCATGTAAATTTTGATCTGGATATGTGATCATTTCAATTCATGTTTTTCTATTAATTGCTGATGTTTGTATTTCTCTTAGCCATCTAAAGAAGAAACTATGGAGGCAGTACCTAAAACTACAGAAGTACAGAATTTGCAAGAGCTAAAGAAAACGTTCGCCTGCCCACATTGTGATAAAGTGTTTATCCGTGAAGGATGGCTGAAGCCGCACATTCGCACTCAACACCGGAATAAAAATAAGAGGCGTGGCAAGTTTGACAGTGGCCTGAAAAAAGCACAACGTCCTTACTACCAGGTTGGTATTCAGATTTGTTATTAAAAAGGTAAATGTTAAAATATACGTTTTAAGACACCGGTAATTGTTTTGATTTTATTTCTACATAATAACCCAAATTCCTTTGTACTGATTGATAAGCAATTGTGTAATGGCACAACTGTAAAACAGGGAGTCAATCAGGAGTCTAAAAAAAAGAGTAAAGAATCATCAAAGGTCAACGCTAAACCAAGTCAATCAAGTGATGAGTCCAATCTGGTTGTTGCTGGTTACCTCCAGGTTGGTTTTTTTTTTTTTTTTTTTTTTTTTTTTTTCATATTGGTAATTAAATATGAAATTGTTACTAAATACTTGCTGAGACACACATTTTTGAACCTTTTTTTTGTATAATAACCCAGACTCCTTTTTTTATTCATTGATAAGAAATTGCGTAAACGCACAACTGAGACACAGGAAGTCCCCAAGGAGTTGAAACAAAAAAATGAAGAAACAAAAAATTTCAAAGATAAACAACGTCCATCAAGTGATGAATCTAACCTGGTTGTTGATGTGCCGCAAATCACTACTGATCTTCCTAAAAGGGGGACAGATGAATCTAAGTGCGCTCTTGAGCAATCAAATAAAGACACTTCAGACTCATCAAGTGCTACAAAACTGAAGAGGATGTTTCTGTGCAAAGAATGTGGCAAAGAGTTCATTCATGAAAAGAGTTTAAAGAAGCACACAAGGAAACACCAGGGACGTAGGTTGCATGAAGAAAAGAAAAGGAAAAGAGAGCAATATCTAGGGGAAGATAAGCTTATGGAAGAAGAAGGAATGAGATGGGGGGAGGAAAAGAAAAAGAAGCTTGATAAGACATCAACAAGTAATCTCAACCCAAATACGGTATGTGTCTTACAAAAACCTGAAGAATGATCCACATCCGTCTTTGCATTTTTATAGTTTTAAATTACTTTAAATCAACCAGAAGAGAATCAGAAAACTCAGGAACCCAATAAGCACCTTCAAGGCTAATAATGTCTTTCTGAAGGAACTTTCACTTATTTTCCTATTTTAGAAATAATTTTTGCGTGAAGGCACTCATTACATATATTAGCCCCTGCACAAGTATGTATTAAATTTTTTTTTTCTCGTACCCCTTCAGCAGAAACCTCAAGGATCCCCAAACAAAGAGTTGCGGAAAGACAAAACCAGAGGTCAAGGGCCACTACCCTGCCCATTTTGTGGCAAAGTTTTTGCTTGGGAAATGCGGCTTTTGATGCATATGCAGATTCATAGCGGCGAGAAACCATACTCCTATCGGCAGCGCAAGAAACGGTTTTATGGAGACTTGAAAAGGGGCCAACTCCCTAAAAACCATAATCAGGAGGTAGGAGAGTCTATGCGATAATCATTTTGACCGATTGATTCTTCCAGTTTTATTTCTTCAAGGAAAAAAAGAGGAATTGTTTGTGCAATGAATCCTAGGTCATGTTGACTCAAAAGGCTGTTGTTCAAGTCATTATGAAATTGGTTGATTGTCGATTTCCCCCAATACAGACTCCAGAGAACAACAGTGACAAGTCTGAAGAATCCATGGTTGAAGAAACGGGGAACGAGGACGAATCTACACATCCGAGCAGCAGTACAACACGTGCAGTTTCTGGAGCTCTCGCAAGCGGTACTGAGACCCCTGGAATGGAGGACCAAACTGGCAGCCTCAGCCTTCTACCTCAGGCAGCTATTGAGAAGCCTATCACCTGCGATAAGAATAATCAAAGAACCAAATCTGAGATAATCAAAGATATCTTGAGCAAATTCAGTTTACAGCCAAGGATTGTTCTAGAACCAGTTATGACTGAATTTAAGTACAGGAGCTCAGTGTCTGGAGACTTAAAATCAGGTTGTTCTAAAAGAAGTGGCTTGGAGCATGAAGAAACACCATGCTCAGGAATGGTTGATGAAATGGTAGACGCTGTGGAAGATGAAATTGTGGGTTCCAAGGTTGGCATAATATCAGTGGAATGCTCTGGACATGGCATCCAGAACAAGCCTGCAAAATGGCAACATGTTATTCCTGAGACAGAAATAGTCCCTGTAGAGGTTGGATCTCCTCAGCATGATTCTCAATCAGAAGTGGAGCTTGGTAACTTTGGGGGCCCACTGGCCGTTGAATCCTCTGAGGGGAAAAACACAAAAAGTCAACAAGAAGAGGACTATGACTGTTATTATTCTGGTGTTTCCAAGAAAACAGCCATAAACCAGCTGCCGCTGATCATAATTGATGATGAACTAGAACAGACAAATGAAAGACCTGCTGCTGAACATGCTCTGTCTGAATGTGGAAGAATGAAGTGTGATTCAAAGTGTGATTGTAATAACATTTCTACTATGAAGTTAACTGTAATCCCACCGACTAGCGATTTAAAGTCTTTGTTCAAGGAAACTAGTTCTGGTGACATGAAGAAGAAAATTTACTCAGAATCAGATCTCGTTGTCCTCTCAGATGGTGAAGAAAATGTTGTTGAAGATGTGCTGAATTCTTCCAGAGGTTTAGATGAAAAGAAAACTGCCTCAGTGCCTAGCGTTCAAAATGAACAGTCAGTAGTGGGCAGCAATCCTGGAGAAAATCCTTCCAGCGACTTCATTTTTTCAGCATCAGATGCAATTGAATCAATCACGACTGATGAGTCCACTTGTGTTCATGCCAAATCTATTGAGAGTGCCTCAAACCATACTGATACTGAGGTTGTAACAAGTGAAAGAAATGATCAGAGTACCTCAATTGACCGACTCACCAGAGACGAGATGGCTTTTAATACCATCAGACAAACAGAGGACAACCCCATGAGTTCAGTGGAGAATAGATCGTGTCAAACAACTGTTACGGTATTTGCTGATCAAGCATCTACATCAGAACTTAATGATGACAGGAAACCGCTAGAACTTGTCAGTGGCAATGAGACAACCTGTGAGCAGACAGGTATGCAATAGTAGCAGATTGGAAAGTACAACACGGACTCAAAAGTAAATCTGTTCTTAATCTGTGGAAATTTAAAAGAGATCTGTAAATAAATGAATGGAGAAATCTAAATGTATAATGAATTAAATACTGTTTTTTTTTTTAAGTTTCTTAAATGTCTGAATCTATTCTGGATGCTTGAACTGACATCTCAGGGAAAAATGAACCTTCTGTACAAAATGTTAGTTTTTTGTAAAAAGTTCTGAAGAATTTTGTGTGCTCCCAAACTCTTCCACAACCCGTCAAGTCTGATGGTAGTAACAACTGCTCAAAAAAAGTAAAGCAAGCTCTATATTGTCGATCTAATGGGAAGGATAGAACTGCACTTAAAGTGTGATCACACAGGAGAACCTGTGTATTGACAAAGACTGTAAAAAAGGGAAAGCGTTATTGAAAATTTTCACAGTTAAAAATAAAATCAAGCAACCTAGAGACTCTAAAATGGATTGTAAGAACTCTTACTGATGGAACACTTTTCGGGAACATGCTCGGATTTGTAAGCACAACAGGAACCCAGCTGACTCTTGCAAAACCCAGGAAGCTGTTGATGCAGAATTGGCAAATCCAGCTCCAGACGTGATCGACATCTCCAGACTTCTCCAACTAATGCTTCTTATCTAATATCTCAGATTCAGGTCCCTCTATTCCAAACCCTAGGAAATGTGAAGCAAAGGGCAACCATACTCAAGACACAAGTCCACCAGTTCTAGTAACAGCCCAGCACAGAAGATGTGTGATCCAGAACCCTCAAGCCCTCCCAATCTTGACTCGTGCCAGAATGCTGCCTCAAAAAACAATTATCCAAAAGTGGAGGGGCCTCTTGTCTCTGACAGCAGCACAGCTCAAAATGATATTGATGACCAATCCTTAAGTCCACCTGATCTAGATCCTTGCCAGTGTGTTAAAATATTTATCCTCATTTGGAATCTTCATTTAGTACAACAAGGAAGATCTACCATTTACCAGATCAGCCATCAAACAAGACTCCCAGATCAGCCGTCTAAAAGAAGTCAAAGAAAAGTTGTCCAAGTTGTCATTCTCAGGTTGTTTGCTTTTTTTTTTTATTGAATAGTGTTTTGTTTTGTTTTTTTTTTGAATGCAAGTTTTTGTTGCTGTATATTTTAGGTGTTAAGCAAGTGTAATTAATTGAATGTATTATGCTCTTTTAATGTTTTTATTAATTATAGCTTCTTTGTAAAAACAGGGTCCTGGATGCCAAAGCAGTTCCACGGATGACTTATTGAAGATACATCACTGCTGTTACTGCAAGCAACCACATTATAGAATGATGGATCATCTTCAGTCAGTTCATCCTAATGAGCCAGATGTGGCAAAAGCTCTTACCTTTGACAAGCACTCACAAGAAAGGAAACATCTCTTGAACCTCCTTCAAACTAAGGGAAATGTTCTACACGGCAGAAAACGTGATGTAAAATCATTTAGGATGTTTGCTTCAGACTGCTCATTTGATGATAGTGTTTATTGCATCTGTTGTTTAGGGTTATTTAGCAAGAAGTCTTTTGCTACCCATTTAGAGCAGTGCAAGGGCAAATCAATTGAGAGAGCTGAGGATAGCTGTGGTGAAATTCCTCCCGATCCTGGGCCCATTCCTTCAACTTCCACACTCACTTCCCTGTGGAGTTCAGGAGAGATTGATGCTAATCTAGAACCATTATGTTTTTATTTCATAAATACCCCCTATGAATCAGAGCAGCTAAATTTGTATAATGAACAAGACAGTTCTTTCCATCAAGATGTCACATGCAGTGTTGGGAACCCAGATGTCTCAAGTCCAAATAAGGGGGTTAGAAATGATGGGCAGACAGAGGGTGCTGAATTACAATTCAATCGTTCCCCTGAATATGAAGCCAGCTATGATTTTAAGTCGGATAATTTTTCAAATCCAAGCCCTGGTCAAGAATCAACAGACTGCAAGAATGAAGAAATACTTATCCCAATATGTGATGTCGCTCAAGAAAGGACAATGACAGAAAATGACGTTCTCAGAAATCCATGTGATGATTTCAGTCCACCGCTCGGCAACCAAAATATGTCCAATGACCGCGTGAAAGACCAAACCTATGGATCGCGGAGGAAGAGGAAGAGAAGCTCACGTATGCAAAATGAGGTAAATATCATTGTTAAATGTGGTATTCTGCAAGCAACTTTGTTCTTCAGGACTCACTATTATTAGATTATTTACATTGAAGGATATAATCTCTTTACAGTTGTTCACATATTGACATACTCACTTTTTTGTTGTTGTTTAAAACTGGTTTGTAAAAAAAGTTCTGCTCTGGGCTAAGCCAAGTCCAGCCTTCTGATAAATATTTACACTTGTTGCACCAACTAAAACTACGACCAGGCGCAACTTCACTGCGTGTCCACTCTGACACATTCTACCCCATTGCTAGTTGAGATGCCATTCGCAATAATAAAGAACTGAATTTGATTGACATAAGAAATGAAACCACTGTGCCATCTAATTTCAATGAACAAACGTTAGCTAACGAGTCTCCCTGTATATTCTTACAACGCAGATGGTTATTAAACGTCCTAGGTATGTAAAAAGATATTTAAAAGTCGGAAAATGTCCCTGCTTATTAAATCTGAGTGAGCTACATACAAACAATGTCAAACTACAGTCAATGTCAAAGTCAGACATTGACAGTCAGTCAATGTCTTTTTGTCTGAATGTAAATGAAATGTCTATGACAGTACTTTTGATGAACAGGTTAAGCTGATGTTTTCTGTTTGTTTCCTTTTAATTGTAAAGTCCCTGATCTTGGATTATGACTCGCTAGGTGAAGGGGAGAGGCCCAATTCAAAAAAACATGTCTGCCAGCACTGTAGGGCAACTTTCTGCACCTCCTACACACTGCGCAGACATGAATACACTCACACAGGTCAGTGTGCAAAACCCTTGTTAACACGCATATTAGAAATATTGCAACTCAAAGCAAGCTAGTTACATAGAAGAATCAGGGTCATTCTCATGGCTGTTTTTTTTTTTTTTCATACAGGTGAGAGGCCATTCTGGTGTCATCACTGCAATGTGGGATTCATCCAGAAGTATCGCCTTTTAAAGCACACATTTGCATACCATGGTGAATTTATTAGTTGTTGTTTTGATTTTTGCTAAATTTTTAGTTTACTTTTATCAGGGTGTCTGAAAAGGTTTTAATTCACCCAAACAAAAGTCAAGGCCTTAAAAAGGATTTAAATTAGAGCAGAAAGTCCTAAGGCCGGGATGGACCAAGCCAACGGTCGGTTGTCAACGTCGGGTGTTTCAGGCTAGTTTTTGGGGTGAGCTCCACACATCGGCGGCAGTTTGCCAAAAAATTAGCTTGTTCAATCGGCATCGGGGCCGTCGTCGAGAGTGGAAACGCAAATATTTTCATAACAACATGAGCTGCTTAAAATAAAGAAAACTATCGACATAGCTGATGATATTCAAAATGGTATGCAATTACTGCTTTGTTTAGGTTTCGTATATGTCATATGTTTCAGTTTCTCCTTTTGAATGATGAATATAATATTGATACCTGCTGAGACAGTTCATTTCTTACATGGAAGCACAGAACTCGCATGCTAGTTTACAGTTGGCTGTAGTCTGCTGTGTTTTTTTGGTCCAGACGCAGCCAACGCAAGGCGACAACACCGTCGGTTTTCGTCGTTAGTTCTCTGAAGTCGGCTTGGTGTGTCCCAGGCTTTACATTCATAAAGTTATGGCTTTAAATATTGTATGCATTGCATTTTGTCCTGTTTTCAAATACAAACTTCTAAACATCTTTAAATCAAAATACATTTACTTAAGATGCAAATGTATAATAAACAGTTAAACAAAATAAAGTGAGTTTATGCTTAAAACAAGAACAAATATCTGTCAATGAGTAATGAAAATTTTAATTACGTTGATTTTTCTGAGCCCATTGGCAGATGTTGTTTCAATCATTAAAATTAAATTATTATATAACTATTTAATAAAATAAGTACTTTATTAATGTTATGGATAGGCTAAATGACACACTGTCAATAGAATATTTTACCATTGGGAACACATTTTTAGATGATGATTGTTTTCATTCCAGTCAAAATGGTCTCATAACAGTTCTCTACCATTACTATGCTGTACGCAAGTTCATGCTAATTTAAAAAAGATTTGATTGTAGCCACCGTTTTGTGTGAAAATAAGTGTACACCCAGTTTTTTGTCATGCGTTTGTTTCGTAAATGAGGGCCATTGTTTCTCCTTACACACTTATATTTATTCCTTACATATTATTTACCTTCATAAAACCTGCAGAATCCTAGTTTTATGTAATCAAAATTGTTTTGTTTTGTTGTTATCTTCAAGGGGACACGTTAACTAGCACAGACCAACAAAAACTGAAAAGGCCAAAGAGAAGAATCCAAGGTGGAGAGACATCGGTCAAGGGCGAAGCTAGCCTGGAGGTAAAGTGATTGGTTTTTTTCCCCTCTTAAATAGAACTTACTTTTTTATTAGAGAACAGAATAAAAACTTCTTTTTTATTGACAGCCATCAGCAGAGAGTCCAAAGGATTTACCAGATGCTGTTAATGATGACACTGAGGGAAAGGTTACGTCCACACAGCAAGGTAAAGTTTCTGGTTGTCATGAAACATGCATAAACAGCATCAAAAGTCCCAAGCATAACAAGATTCTGCTGGGTCATTAAAACAAGACATTGAATTTCCTGATTTTAATGGCATTTAAAATGTCTTAAATATGTGTATTTATTTTCTCCCAGGCATTACATTTTGAGATTTTTTACATTTTGCTCTCCTCAGCAGAGGTGTGTGGGGGAGTGTCTATAAAACATGATGTTTCGAGTTTTAATGATATGCTGACTTTATCCAATATGTCACTCACTTTGCAAAAACCAAACATTAGGAGTGCATTTATTATTCACTCTGTGATGTAGCCTATTATTATGCAGTTAGAATGCCTCCAAAACTCAGGGTATGTATGTAGGAGCATTTATAATTATTAATTATTACGGAAAATTCCAAATGCTGAACCGTTGTGGGACAATAGATAGCAGTGCTTCATTAATGAATGAATGATTTGTGTCCACAAAAGCGTTTTAACCCGCTGAAAATGACTAGCTGTGGTAGCATGTCCTCCCTGATTCGGCTAATGACCTGAGGGAGCAGAATTAAGAGGAGCATAGAGGAGCAAAAGGGGCCATCTGTGGGCCAATGTGTCCTTTTCCTTCAAAAATATCATCAGACAGTGGGTATTCTTTTCACTTCCACCTAGCTGAAAATGCAGTAGGTGTCTGTGAGAGTCTCCGAAAATTTGCCTTTTACAAAAGTAAAAATGCCCCAGGAAAGCAATTTAAGGAGGCAATTATTTCCCCTTAATTGAAAAGTTAATTTATGTCAGCTGTCCATGACAGGCCTAAACCAGACACACTCAGCAAAATCTCATCCAATTATCGTTATTGTCAAAATTCCAGAAAATATATATATAATTTCTGTAAATATCCTTAGGCTTATCCTTAGACTACATATTCTTTTTTAAATCTTCAGGTCTTAAAAAAAAGTCTTTTAAAAGCCTAAAATTGCAGCAATTAAAGTATATTTTGCTGAATCTTTAAAGTTTGTAACCCTTTTGTTGTTGTTTTTACCCGACTTAATATGCTTTTGTTTTAGACACGGAAGCGAGAGGGTTTCACTGGGAAGAAGCAGGACAAAGCAAAGTCAAAGACTATGACACGGATTGCTAGAAGTTATCGTTTACATCATGGTGTTGCTTTTTTTTTAAGTTACAACATGTTGGTTTTATTTGTTTTGAAAATATGTTTTGCAGTGTTTGCATAAATCTAGTAAATATTAAATAATTTTATGGAATGGTTCATTTCAACCTGTTGTATTGTACAGATAATAGCATTGTTTATTAACTAACTCCAGATTGAGAATAAAATCAAAGGTTAGCGAAATCTAAAGGGTGTATTGTTTTTTTGTTTTGTTCGTTTTTGCGTGTTTGGGGACACATATCGCTCATATTGATGCAACTTATGGCAGTTTGTTTACAATGCAAGCTCATAAACGTCTCATTCCAAAGTTGAGACACTAGACATAATGAATTATTTATTGAGAAATTGTTTGATTGTTCATTATTATAGACTATTGTACAAAAGTTTGGGGTTGATAAAAGTTTTTGTTTAAAAATGAAAGTTTTGGTTAATGCTCTGTGAGACTGCATTTATTTAGTCAAAAATGGTTAAAAAACAGTTATATTATATTGGTCTTCAGTGTCACAGAGTCCTTCAGAAATCATTGTAATAATCTTGGTCCTCAAGAAACATATTATCATCAATGTTCATAAGTTTGTGGAAACGTGACGCATTTTTTCCAGAATACATTGATGAATATAGTTTATATTTTATATGTCTTTGCTATCAATTTTGATCAATTGTAATTAAATATTTTAAATATTCAAAACAATCGTACTGACCCTGAACTTTTAAAAGGTAATGGCAGTCTATAAACAACTATAAAAACTGTTGAACCTGATTTATTAAAAATCATAAATTTCATATATTGATGTATTAAAAATCTTTAATTTCATGATATTGGTTTCTGTAAAAAAACAAACTTTTTTTACTTTTATTTAAGTACATTTAGCTAATTTTATTTTCACTCGTTTGGCAATATCCATACAATGGGATAAATGTTATGTCAGGTTTGGTTTTGTTTTAAGACAAACATTTATCCAAAAGTGGTGCTCCCAGGTGGCCTCTCTCAGCATGAGGATGCACCCTGCCACACTGCAGGCACACGTTGTTCAGGAATGGTTTGTGGAACATGATGAAGAGTTCAAGGTGTTGCCATCATGGCCTCCACATTTCCCAGACCTCAATCCAGTTGAGCATCTGTGGGATGTGAATGTGCTGTACTAACAAGTTTCATCCATTACAGATTCACCTCGCAACCTACAGGATTTAAAAGATCCATCTTGCTTTCTGATCTCACAGGACACCTTCAGGGGTCTTATAAGTTCATGCCTTGGTGGGTCAATGCTGTTTTGGCAGCACGCTGAGAACCAACAGCATAACGTTATTAGATAGGTGCTGCCATAATGTTTTTGCTCATTCATGGTGTAAATAATATGAATGACGACGTAATTTGATCAAAAGCTATAGTTATAGCTGCACTCCCTCCTCCTGTCCTGTGAGGGGTGCTAGAGACACTTCTGTTAGCACAGCAAACCTTATGTGTTTGATTTGAAAGGGGGGACTTTCACGCGCTCGTAATCGGTACCTGTATTGTCTGTATTTATCATTTAAATACAGCGATCTAAAATAGTAAAATGACTAAACTTGATCGTCTGAATACTTTCATGACCGAGCGCTTAATGGCTGCTGTGAAGGAGATCCTCTTTACAGTCGGCAGAACGGTTCGGGAGTATGAGGAGGAAACGGAGCGAATCAGAAGCGAGAACGAGCGACTGAAACAAATGTTACGAGACTCAGGGTGCATCCGTGAACGCGCAAATCCTGGTATGACGCTTAAAAATATCATGGTGAATGTTTTTCCATTATGTTTAAAAGAGTTAATGACCATTGGTTTATCTCTCTCTATATATAGTGGTCACATTACATCTTAACTTTACCTAAACTGGAGTCCATTGGAGTGTCCATTGGTCACGCATCTGTGATTCGTAGCCACGCGATTATTCATCATAAATGAATCTACTTTTGATTACATGGCATTGGAGGATGTGTGAACAAACATGGACCTTTATGAATATAGCAAATATATATGTTTAAAAAACTTAAAAGTTTTTTTTACGTTTATCTATATGCTAGTGTACATCTAAAAGTTAACAACTATCTTTTATTAAACATTCGTATTTAAAATGGATTCTTGGAATCTTGGATCTTGGAAAAATGTAATGGAAAACCAACTTTGTTTTATTGACATTTTACTCAAAATATTATAAATCTTCTAGTGCCAGACTTCGCTCTCACAACTGCAAGCTCATATTCTTCTCCATTTTTGAGTGTAATATCCACATCCCAAAATCCAATGAATAGAACTGTGTCCGCCCTAAATTGTTTTCTTTTTCAATAATCCATTACACTCAGATGCACGTCACAATATGGAAGAAAAGACATGTCGATACTTCTGCTTCATTGTGACTGTAAAGCCTATTGGCTATTAAATTAAATGGGTGAAGAGCGGCACTTTAATAAATTCTGTCCCAGCTACCCTTCTTAATTTGAAATAAATCAACACAGGAAAAACATCTGTGGTAATGTTATCAAGGTGTGTTTAATAAAATATGGATAGGTTATTGGAGCTGTAGTCACATTACAGGTTTACATGGATCTTACATGTTTATGTTCGTTTTTGTATTTTTTTAGCTCCTTTGCAGTCTTATCAGCCAGTTTCCCCTGTGCAGCCTGGATGGATCTGCAGCCAGAATGAGGAGCCAGAACCCTTTGAAGAGATCCATCAGGACAGATGCCAGAGACATAGCGAACAACATCCGCTCATAAAACCGGAAAAACCTGAATACTCTGCCGACGCTTACCGGGAATCTGTGGATTTGCCTACAGAAGCCAGCAACAATGAGGGCTCACACATGTGCACTGATCACACCGAACAGAGTACACATCCGGTTGAGGATGAGACGACAAACTGTCATTTCCCAACTAAAATCAAAGTTGAGTTCATGAACTCTAACTTGTGTTCAGGCGATGAAATGGGGAGCACTGAAGATGTATATCAGAGCTGGTCGCCACGCAGTCCAGACTTGCCTTTAGGGACATCGGACCCCTACAGAGCACAACACCCAAACCAGCCAACATACCCGAGCGGTGAAGCTCCTCCCACAGTATCCCAGCATAGCAGTTCATCTTATGACGCCAATCACGTTTCATATCACAACATACTATGCACCAACGGGGCGTACTGTAGCAGTAAATGCTGTGAAATGCAAAAGAGGACAATTGCCAAATCAAGCCCTGTATGGAAGTATTTCTCTCTAAAAGAAGGCGATTGTAGCAAAGCAGTGTGCATTATGTGCAGGGCCGTCATATCGCGCGGTCGCAAAGAGTACACAACTTCGGCCCTTCTAAAGCACCTTCGGATGAAACATGGTAAATGTTGACATTATCACGACATTATCCTTTGTTCTCTGATTTTATACATATATGTTTGCTGTAGTACAACATTTCTGCTCAGTCTGTTCAACTGCCTTAATGGTGCTTGTATAATAGGATAAGTATGAGGAAAGCAAGACATCATCTTTGTGTTATTCCTGCAGGAAATGTGCTAATCTTCGGCAGTGCCGAGAAGAGACGAATGAAAGAGATTACGAGAAAGACTATGTGAAAACCTCTAAACCGCTCTCAATCAGCATGGACACTGGCTATTGTGCGCCATGGCGAACCGCTGAGTGAACCCCAGTGGTGGTGTAACATTCTGATTTTGGTGTGTTTTCAAACGAATCGTTTCATCAAAATCAACATTGTATGGGTTGAGATAGGGCAGTCAGATACGTATTGGTCATCCAAACCTTTTGATTATGTTTACAGACAAAGTGTAAAATTATATAGCTGGAAAAATGTCACAAACTTTAAGCCTGTAAGTAACTGGTGAATGGGTGTTTCATCGTTGTTTAGAAAATAATAATAATGGGATGTTATATAAATGGACAAGAAAGGGCATGATGAATGTTAAAGGAAACTGTAATAAAGAGAATGTTAGAGACTATTTTACCACCCCACAGAAATGTAAGATGTTTATGTTTGAAGTTTTGAACTCATTTCGTCTTTTATACTATTTTTTTTTTTTTCTAATAAATGAATTCTGGTTAATTTTGAGAAAATAATTTGTTGTTGTTTCAGTGTGTGCCTCCTTAAAATAACATTGTTCGGATGAGATTACAAATCTTGGATTTATAGAAATATCAAGAACATCTCAAGCATTATTGCAACTACATTTGTGTAATGATGTCTTAATAATGACTCTTTCTGATTATTATGAGATGCCATAATAATCCCTCCCAAATTTGCTCTGAGAAAGTTTCTCATAATTATATGCTAAGTCATTATGAGAATGTTTCTCATTATTATGACTTGCAAAATCCTATTTTCACAACTGGAAATGGGGGTAAATACATTATTACAAAAATAATCTCATAATGAAAAACTTTCTCATAATAATGACTTGGTTTCCCATAACACTGACATACTGTAGGTTTTCATAATAACAAGAAACGTTCTCATAACAATGACTCCGTGGTTTCTCAAAATAATGATACACTTTCTTAATAATGACTAAATTCGCACAATATCACACAACTTTCTTATAATGACTTATTTTCTCATAACAACAAGACACATTCTCATAATAATAACTTAGTTTCTCATCTTAGTTCAATTGGGGCATTAAAGTAGCTGTTATGTGCCGTAGAAAAAAAAAACATTGATGTGCTTGAGATATGTGATGTGCACGTTGGCTATACCAGTGCAAGTTGCTTTCAGTTAAAACAGCTAATATATGCATTTTAGTCTGACTATGCTTAAGCCTTGTCTATGAAACCAGGCATGACTGGACAAAACTGTTCTTATCGACACCTCCAATGGTCTCAAGCCAGCCACCTGCACACCACACTTAAACCTCCTTTTCAATTATGACTTACAAAATAACTTTTAAAAAAATGTACCATGACATGGGAATTATAATATTTCAACGAAACACCATGGTCAGTCAGATATGATAAATATCTGACTGACCATCATATGCAAATTAAAAAAAGGCTTTCTTGCAAACTATTAATGCACTGAAATGTTCTTTAACTGTTTGAAGGAATTCTCTGAGGTCTGAAATTATAGTTCTGCTAGTAACATCAACAGTGGCAACTTTAGTGTTTTGGTGGAAATTGTACCATCCAGTACCGTCTTCATCAAAAACAACTGGCAGAGTGGACTGCCCTTTCTGTACTTACCACTCCTTTCCTTTGGTAGGCGCTGAATTTCTGTGGTTACCAGGAACAAATACGTGGTCATATGACCACAGGGAAGTGTTGTTTACATTCTGTTTTACTGTACGCCGAACATAAAATAACAACATTTACTGCGAAACAACGTCAAGATGACGAAGCTGCAGGTCATCAACACGTTTCTGACGCAGCGCTTGATGGCGGCGCTCAATGAAATTATGGACATGATCGGCGGGACTGTCCTGCAGTATGAGAAAGAGCTGGACAGCATGCAGAAGGACAACGAGTATCTGAGACGGAGACTGAAGGAGATTGAGAAAATCGTGGAGTCAATCGGTACATAGCCCTTTCATAATAATAATAACAATAAAAAAGTGTTCTGTCAATGACGGTTTATTTAACTTACTTTCCTTACAGGAATCTATAGTTTCTGCCATGGTAACAGTGAAATACAACAGCCAACCCTATCATTAAAAAGTTAAACACAATGACAGAAAGACTCGGAACGCTTCTTGTACATTTTGAATGAGATCTTATATAAATGCATTATGGTTTTTCAGTAGTACGTTAACTAGTAATTTTGCGGTAACAATGGTTACATTGTAATGTTTTGCAAGGACAGTTATTAACCAATAAATAAACAAATATTAAATATAAATTGTATTTATAATGTTTCATAACAATATGAATACATCAATAGCTCACCTCAAATTAATCACGTAAGTTACATCAATTTTACACAGTCAAAATTACCAGTTAGAATAAAACTCCTCGTTGTTTTGTATAATTATATCAGAACTTTACAAGTCCTCAAAACCATGAAATAATAGAGAGAAAAGTATGGGAATTATGTAGTGACTGAAAAAATGCTGGTTACTTGTTGACTGTTGCTTCACTATATGGTTACATTTATCCATTAAAACGATTGTAATGCTTATGTCCTTCAAAATTCTCCTGGATAGCCACCAGTATTGTCAAAGGAGTGCCTTTTTAGATAAAAAAAATATTGTACCGACTAAAATGTTAATATTTAAGATTTTGCCCATGATCATATGAAATTGGACACTCAATGCATATATTTTAAGATCAATATTTATATAAAGGCCCAGCACCACCCATGTCTAGACATATTTCACTTTAAGGGCCTGTTGTGAAGATATTTGTCCATGAAATCCTTTGCTCTTGAAGGAACATATTTTTTCTGTGCATCTTAAAATGAAACATAAAAAATGTGTAGTCTGTGAGACAAAAGATTTAAAAGTCTTTCATTCACTTTAGTGTGTCCAAAAGTCTGACTCAAACTGTAGTAACTTACATTTGTTGTACAGTTATGTTTGAATCTGGTGTAGTTTTAGATGAATTATATGCTACACAAAATCACAAATTTTAACTCCGACAAAGCAAAGTGTCTTAGATACTATGTTTCCACCTGATTTCCTCAGACCCTTCATCTTTTACAGGTCCAGCCGCTTCAAATCCTGCACCATCATCTCCACCTCTTCATCAAAAGTGGACCTCTAGCGTTGAGACGGAAACAATGCCGTCAGAGATCTATCAGAACCAGGTACAAAATGAACAGCCCACCGGGACGAAAGTGGAAGAGTTCCCCAGCCATGCGCTTCTAATGACTGAATCAGACTTCGATTTACCTTGTCCCACAATACCAAACACACTGGCTCAGACAAATGAAGACTTTGAGACATCCACTGTAAATGAATTTCCTTGTGGTGTAAAAATTGAGCCTTTTGAAAGCGTCAATTCACAATCCACCCATGCTAACACATCCGTCTACAGTCCATTACCTCATTGCTCTGCTCAATTACCAGTTTCTACTGATATTACTCACAAGTCTGATCCTAAAGTTTTCAATACATCAAATTCCTCTCATCTACAATCAGCTAAACGTATAAAGCTGAAGGGTAAAACCTTGCAACTGTCCATCAGTACAATTAGCCCAAATGTGTCAAAGACCTCTTGTCCTGAATCAGGCATAGCTCACGTCAACTACAACGCCGCTCATCAAAACACAGACTTGGGATCAGTCAGGAACGACACTATCGACAGCAATGGTCATCTCGGTATACATGTAGCTAACGTTGCTGTCAATCCCCTACGCCACGCACCGTTCAGCAGAGAAGTCAGGCAGTGTAGGGCAAAAGGACGAGGACGTGGTCCGGAGACACACGTTTGCCCACAGTGTGGAAAACTTTTCCCTCATCACTCGCGTCTAAAGGTTCACATGCTCATTCATACAGGGGAGAAGCCGTACGCTTGCACCCAGTGTGGGAAACGCTTCAACAACGACGGGACTCTGAGGAACCACAGCCGAGTGCATCTGCAGTTACGTCTTTTTGACTGTCCGGTGTGCGCGCGTAGTTTTAAAGATGCCTACACCTGTCGGAATCACATGCGTGTTCATAATAGGTGAGGCAATGGTGCTTCTGCCTCAGCAGGAAAAATTCAAAAGAAATGAAGGTATATGAAAAGGCTAATGGGACGATTTCCCTGTTCGTTGTGACATGCAGTCACAGTTTTCCTGCTCCTGATCGCTGAACATCAGAGTTGAATCAGCCGTTCTAGATTATAGAGACATCTAAAATGTGCCATGCTGGGCAGGATTGAGACATGCTGAAGAATATAAGTCACATGATGATGTCCTCAGAAAACCTTTTGAGTATAGTGTTTGATGGTGGAGTTTAAATTCATGTTATGGTCCTGTTGTGTGCCCTGCCATCAGACTAGAAGGATACAACAAACAAGTGCCAGTGTTGTTAACTGTTTTCTGCTTCTTTTAAAATGCTCAATTAAAGATTTTATTGAGTGTTTACTCTTTTGGATTTCTTTATCATGAGGTAGAGAGGTCTAAAAACTTAAAGGGATAGTCCACCCAAAAAGTTGGTGACTTATCAAACAGTTTTGGTTCCCATTGACTTTGATTGAATTGACAAAAAATAGAAGTCAGTGGGAACCAAAACTGTTTGATTACCATCATTCTTCAAAATATCATCTGTTGGGTGAGTAAATGATGACAATTTAAATATTTGGGTGGACAATCCCTTTAAATACCTGAACAAGTGGATCAAATTCTTCAGGGTCACATGGACATTTTAGGTAGATTTTAAATTAACTATATGGGAAGGTGATTATTATATATGCTTAAGTCTTGTAATGTCTTAAATTTTCAAAAAAATTTAAAAGATGTTTGGGGCAAAATAGTTCCCACCAGGTGGCAATGTTGAGCATTATTAGAAGAGGACACAAAACATTTCAAGTGTACAAGCAACGAGTCCTTTGGAGTATTTTTTTTACTTTAAATTTCAGTACTAAGTTCACATAGGCCTAGATATATGAAACTACTTTTTTAATCGACGTTTCATCTTAGAAAAAAAATCTCCATTATCTACAAAAATATCTGAATAATTTACAGAAAAGAGTGTCTATAGACTGTTCGTTTTTTTATTTAAAGGGCTACCGGATGAGTTTTGAGATTTTGAGATCTATCAAAATAGACGTGACCTATGACCCTCCAAAATAAGTTAAGGATTAGTGGTTTAAAATAAGCCAAAACAACTACTTTAGTTGCCTCCCTCAACACCCCCTTTTTGTTCATTTAAGGACCAGAGTTTCCAAAGTCTTGAAAAAACCTGTACAGTGTGACGAAGCATAATTTTAAAAGTGTGATTTGGGGCATTTTTGTGATGAATATACATTTTTTTGTTATGGTAAGTTCAAGAACACTTTATCGGGTAGAAATATTTGAAGCCTGATTCTACTCATCAGCTCCCTCTAAAATGTCAGTGGCCTGGGCTAGATATAGTGACATTTACCTGAGTGTTGTGTGCTGTTAATTTGTTATCTAATTACTCATTGAACATATAATCAACCAGATACATCTTGAAGAACCACAGAATCATCAGTGCAGTAGTTTTTCACAGGAGGAAAAGCTGATATTATCTAGGTTTGGAATCCCATTTAGAGAATATCTTATTGCTTATTGGTGTAAAGATACCCAAATTTACAACCTTTCGCCTTTGCGAATGAGATCATTTAGGTAAATTGGTCATTTTGATTGGTGCACCATAATGTTCTGCTTGCTGGAGCGATTATGAGTTGTAATTATTGATATGTTTTCTTTGAGAGGACGCAGGGAAATGATGCACATCTTAAAGAGCAATGCATTTCAAATGTATTTCCAATTTGTACATAATCACTTCATATAAACCACAAACCCTCAAGAATACAGCACTTTTTTTGGTACAAAACAACCAGACGAAACACACACGCGTACGCATGCAGACGCACTTCAGATACTCCTAGAATACGGAACATATAAACATTTGATTCCAAAAATATATCAAGTAAATGTATGCAATATCAAATTGTAGCATGTCCATACAACTCCTTTTTTAAAGAAAAGTAACAACTGGAAATTAAAAACTGCCAAATCTGAGACCTTGGAAAACACAGTTGGCGCAAAGTAAAAAATGTAAACATTGCATCATGCTACAAAATGGTTAAGTCTACTTGTTAGTAGTACACATAAACCTGCTCTTCTTGAAATTCCATTAAGGCCCTTAAAGGGATAGTGCACTTTGAAATTAATTTTTGATATGTTTTAGCTTACCTCAAGGGCATCCAAGATGTAGGTGTCTTTGTTTCCACAGTATTTTCAATTTTGACATTTTTTGGTCAAACCGTTGTTGTCTGTCAGTCATACACTGGAGGTTAAGGGGGTCCTCCCTCGGTTCACCTCAAAGAGCATGCACAGAGAAGTCAAAATTAAACATGATTTAATGACTCGTGAATGTAAGTACACATTGATGGCCTAAAACACAAAACGAGCGGTTTGTGTGAGAAAACGAACAGTATTTATATAGTTTTTACCTCTTGTGAAATATAAACCATATTCATATAGTTTTTACGTCTACGTCACTGTCATGATGTGGTTTTGTGTCTTGTCAATTTGTATTCAGTTGTTCCCTGTCTAGTTATTATCCCAGGTGTTTCTCATTTCTCACGCCCCCTTGTTACCTTGCCTAGCTCGTTTGTCCCTATTATTTAAGCCCTGTGTTCCTGCCTTGTCTTTGTGAGTTCTTGTAATGTCGAATGGTCGATGTGGGTTGTTCCTGAGTCTAAAGTCTAGTCTGTTGAAGTCTGTAGTCTGTTTGAGTTTTGAGCGTGTTAAATAAAACGTGTGCTGCACTTGGATCCAACACCTTCTTTCTTCAACCGCACTCCCACCGTCACAGAAGAACTCACCGCATCGTGATCCAGCAGCATGCCTCTCTGGAGTCCTGACGTCCAGATTCTTCGTCTCCGTCAAGAAAGTCGGACCATAGAACGTTAGGTCGTGGAGTTTCTTAAACTGGCTCATCTCGCGCAAATGAGCACCCAGTGCTTGAAGATCTTCTTCCGGGGGATTAGCGGAACCACTCCGGTCTCTGATGCCCGAACCTGATCCGTACGGGTCTTTGGAGTGGTATATTGACCTGGCCCTGTTGTGGAGCGGCTCTGCGTTTACTGTGGGCGCAAAGGAGAGCAAGCAGCGAGAGCCCGCGACTCACGTCAGCCCAGCCGAGCCCGCGACTCACGTCAGCCCAGCCGAGCCCGCGCTTCGCGTCAGCTCAGCCGAGCCCGCGACTCACGTCAGCCCAGCCGAGCCCGCGACTCACGTCAGCCCAGCCGAGCCCGCGACTCACGTCAGCTCAGCCGAGCCCGCGCTTCGCGTCAGCTCAGCCGAGCCCGCGACTCACGTCAGCCCAGCCGATCCCGTGCTTCACGTGAGCCCCGCGAGTGAATCTCCGGTTCAAGTGAGTGCTGAGTCTCCGGTTCAAGTGAGTGCTGAGTCTCCGGTTCAAGTGAGTGAGTTGTCCAGCCCAGCGAGTGTGTCTAGCCATGTGACGCGCCCCGCCCTGCCGGCCCCGCCTCTGCGCCTCGCCCTGCCAGCTTTCAAGCTCCTGGAGGCGTTTCCTGAGCCTGTCTACTGTCCGGAGGTCCCCCCCCCCCCCCCCGTAGATTTAGGGGGGGGGGGCAGTAGGTACTCTGTGGGGGCCATGGAGGCGACGTTGACATGGCCCTGGCCTCGTCCTGCTCCGCCCAGGCCTCGTCCATGCTCGGCGGCCCAGGCCTGCCTTGGCTATCTCCTGGTCCCGTTCCTCTGCACGGGCCTGGCCCTCCGTCCCTCCCCCAAGACTGTCTCCGCTTCACCGCCCTCCTGAACTTTTGGTTGTTTTTATGGGCGTCGGCAGCCGCCCATAGGGGGTGGGCTATGTCATGATGTGGTTTTGTGTCTTGTCAATTTTATATTCAGTTGTTCCCTGTCTAGTTATTTCTCACGCCCCCTTATTACCTTGCCTAGCTCGTTTGTCCCTATTATTTAAGCCCTGTGTTCCTGCCTTGTCTTTGTGAGTTCTTGTTTAATGTCGATGTGGGTTGTTCCTGAGTCTAAAGTCTAGTCTGTTGAAGTCTGTAGTCTGTTTGAGTTTTGAGCGTGTTAAATAAAACGTCTGCTGCACTTGGATCCAACGTGAGATCCAAAGAGATCACTTCCGGCGTATCGTCTGGAGACGGTTCAGTTGGACATCTGATTCAGGTCAGTCTGACGGCTGTTAACAAGAGGTAAAAACGATATAAATACTGATCGTTTTCTCACACAAACCGCTTGTTTCGTGTCTTTAGGCCATCAATGTGTACTTACATTTACGAGTCATTAAATCATGTTTAATTATGACTTCTCTCTGCATGCTCTTTGAGTTGAACTGAGGGAGGACCCCCTTCACCTCCAGTGTATGACTGACAGACAACAACAGTTTGACCAAAAATTGTCAAAATTGAAAATACTGTGGAAACAAAGACACCTACATCTTGGATGCCCTAGGTAAGGGCTAAAACATATCAAAAATTAATTTCAAAGTGAACTATCCCTTTAAGGACCTTCCCATGTTGTCATGGTGATACCATATGTGTATATAATTTTGATGCGTTTACACCAGGTAGTTTTCATGCACCCCTGTTAAAACTTTGATAAAGATGTGTCTTAGCTTTGTCTGCAAGCATTATGAAAGCACTGAACATTGAAATACATTATAATCGGTTAGTCAAAAAGAGAATTGTGCTACACAAGATTTCATAAGAGTAAAATTCACTTCAACGTTACAAAATGTGTAGAAAACACTTGCAGCAATGCAGCAATGAGCGAGAGAGAGGAAGAGAGAAGTGGGTGAATGGGGTGGGGACTTGCTTTGAGTGACATCAAGTCAGAAGACGACTGGTGGCCCACCCTCCTTTTAAACAGCACAAAGTGTGTAATTTACTTCCAACATCTTAGTCCCAAGTTAGCTCATATAATTATCTCCATGTCCACCTCAAATCAATCAAATCCAATAATCTATCATGACTGATTTCCTCGTTCCTGACAGGATTCTTCCTCAATCGTGGCAGGTGGTCTGAGGCAGCTCATTGGCCAGAATATGCCAGCGCACCACTCTCTCACCCTTGTTCCTCAAGCAGTCCATCCAGTGGCGAAGAGCATCTCCTTGGACGTGACAGCTCAGGCACACGCCACCTACCATTCAGGAATATAGTTTTTGTTTTGTAATTACATGTCTTAATATCAAGGTTGGATGGCTATGTTAAGAATGGTATACTAATGTACCGCTTACTGAATACTACGGAAGCCCTGAACCGCATTAAAAGATTAAAAAATGAGATTAAAAGATTAAAAAGATTGAGATTAAAAGTCGAAAGTCGATTAAAAGTCAAAGACTATGAGAAGTATTCTCATACTCTCGAAATGTTTGGACTTTAATCTCAAAATGCTAGATTTTTATTTATTTTTATTTTTTTACATTGCGGTTCAGGGCTTCCGTAGACTACTGCTTAGTATACACTGTAAAAAAAATCAAGTTAAAAACGAAGTGTTTGGGCTGAAATGGGAAAGTGTGCTAAGTGACAGTTTGGATATTTGATTTGACTAAACTTAAAATTGAGTAGGCATTAACACTTTCTTTTCTTTTTTTTTCCCCTTTTCTTTTTTTTTTTTAACAGTGTTGCTCAGAACTGCCTAATATTTAAAAATAGAATGTGAAACAACATTATACATGATGCATTTCAAACAGTTTTGTATGTTTAAATCTGCAAGTATATTCAGTAATCATCTTAAAAATCTTACTTTTTTGCATCTTTTCTGTTAAGTATAAATAAAGGCTTATTTTTGGAGATTTCATTTTACATAAAAAAATTTTTAAGTTAACTTTGCTGTCATGCTTAATCTTTCAAAATAAAAATAATTTAATATCAAAATGAATATATATTTTCAAACTGTAAGTGTAATTGAATTAAATTTATAATTTACAATAGTATAAAACTTATCTTAGTGTAAAATTCATCAGCCATAGCTTATTATGCTTCACTACCAATTCTTTTTTGTTTTGGCAGTCCTATCAAATAGGACTGGTGGTGGTTGAGGAGAGATCCCATAATTTTGTAAAGCGCTTTGGGTGTAAAGTAGTACATATGAAAGCGCTATATAAATGCCTAATTTATTCATTCAAATAGTGAATTCATTACACTGGAAATAGAATTTCAAATCTAGTGTATTGCATTATAATATAGTATTTCACGCAGTGTGCTCTGTTTTATACTGCATAATTTAGCAACTGCAGTAGGTCATCTGTGTATTTTGTTCATACAGAAAATTAGCATGCTGTGCACAGTATACATACTATATATATGTGTTCCTAGCGTTTGTCTCGCTCATTTGAAGACTACGCTTCATCGGAAATGATAGTATGATGGTATGCTATTACAAACAGAGCCGATGCCTTATTCTTCAACAGCACATATAATACGTATTATAAATGTAATTTAGCAGGGTAATCTAATTAATTTCTAGGTAAATGTCAGTGAAGATTATTATTATTATAACTTGTATCAAACCTAGAATTTAAGCATAATTAGTAACATTTATTCATTATCAACATTCAACAATGTCTATATACACAGCTCTTTGCAGTACTGCAATGCTCAAACACTTCTGTCTAGCGCATGTTTACACAGAAAAACTATTCAAAAAAGTGCACAGTGAGACACAAAAATGCCTTAGTTGGTTGCAAAAAAAACCCAAACTGTTTTTAATAATAATTGCGTGCTCTTACCTATGAAATCATTAGATCTTCCCAGGTCATAGTCCCATACTGTGACCTCCAGTGTCTTATGAACCAGTTCAGATAGAGGGATCTCATAGAAAAACTCCTGTAGGTGGTAAAATATGTTGTGGATTATTTCAGTGTTCGTTTTATCACATTATCAAAAGAATATATTAATAGACAATGCCTCTTGTTTCTCATCTTATCAACCTTTTGGCTTGGCCAACATGTTATTTTGCCCCTTTTAAATTTCCCCTAATTCATATTAAAGGGTATTTTTAAACATTGAACAATCTCATATATGCATCATCCTGATAGCTCAGAAGCAACCTGGGGAATGACTAAAATATTAAACACCCTTCAAAATTAAATTTCAAGAAAAAAATGACATTTGGTAGTTCAGCCAAACAGATGTCCCAGTCTGGGATTTCACACCCACTGACTGAACCTTGGCATGTGCCGGAATAAATGAAGAAAAAAAACCATTTATGCAATAGAAAGCCTTCTAAATGGAGGCTCCTTTATAGCAATGTATCCCGGGTATACGAGTTAAATCATGCTGGGATCAAACCACTGGACCTTCCTCTTCGGACCTCTAACCATTCCTCTCTCCTGAGCCAAAGGCAGACACACATGTTCATAAAACGAAATTGGAATATTTTCTAATTATAATACCGTCACGGAGCAGGCTAGCACTCTCTGGTTTGACTCGCTTCCGTTTTCCGGAGTTCTAGAACTGCAATTCCCATCCTGCCCCTCTGCTCTTATTGGGTTCCATCCCTGCCTGGATTCTCTCATCTCCATTATTACCATCACCTGCTAACCATTACCTACCCCTTATCTGGATTTCTCCTTGCATTGTTCCCTTATGAAGTCTTGTTTTGCCACACAGACATTTCCATACGTTTCCCTGGAGTCTCTCCGTGCTCTGAGTTTCCCTGGACCTTTGATCTTTGCCTGGACTCTGAACCTTCGCCGCATGCCTCGACCCCTGCCTGTGTATCACTTCTGTTCCTAGATTGTCCCTTCATTGTATGCCTGTCTGAGGTTGACGTATAATTTCTCCTGTTTCATTACCTGTGTTAATAAATTACTGCAGATGGATCCGACTGCTTCTGTGTTATCACGGATACATTGACGAGCACTGTTATTCCTCCCAGGAATTTTTATCACCCTCATGAACCGTTTTAATTTGATGTGATATTATGGTTTTGTTGAGAGGGTTCCCGTGGAGCAGAGGGCTGACCTGCTTTTAAGCAGGTGTGTGAGATTGGAGCGAGCAGGAGTCTGAGCCAAGGAGTAATTATGCGGCCAATCTGGGTGTGTATTACTTCTGAGTGAATGGAAACAAAACACTTAGCCTTACTGGCGACCGCCAACCGCCCACATGACAGAGAGAGCGTGAGACAGAAGGGAAGGAGGAGAGGTAAAAAAAAAGGAGAAACAGGGACATGATGGGAATGAAACTTACAACATGAAAAACAAAAGTGTGTTTAGGCGGAGGACTTCTGGGAATATGAAGTGAACAAAGACGCAGAGCAAAGAAATATTGGACCAGACATCTCATTAACACTCAAAATACTTGACACACTCCCTGCAAGCTTATCATACATCCATACCTCATTGAATTCTGGGTTAAGAGTCTTTTTAATCACTGCCGTTTTGTGTTTGGATTTCTTCTTCACATCTGGCTTCAGATATCTGGAAAGAGAAAGGCACATAGAGGAACAAAGTGAGGGCTGTAGGAAGAGCAGGACAGTGGGAGAGCAGGAGATTAAAACAAGCACTACTGCTGTCGCACAAACAGGGAATGGACAACGCCAACGGACACATTCGTGCCAAGCTGTTTGCTTTTTTGGCTTTTGCTGTGACATCCCACTGGCTTCCATAAAAATCTGATTTGCTTTATGTACTGCTGTTGACTCTTCCCCACCCTCCCCAAGACACGTAGTTCGAATACGGCTTTGATCCTGAGGAAAAGAGAGAATGAGTATGTGTGTGTTTGTGAAAGGAATGGAATGGAGGAGAGAAAAAGAGAGAGAGAGAGAGAGAGAGAAAGAGAGAGAGTGACTGGAAGGGACGTGAGCGTGGGTGGGGGACCTGTCTGTTCTTATGCCATTTTGCCTGGGGAGGAAGAACTGTTTGGGAGCGTTTATTTTAATACATGATGTGAGAAAAATAATGAGAGATTAGAGGGGGGCACAAATGAGAGAGTGAGATGCAAAGACACATCAGAGGAAAGACGTAGGACGCAGAGAGATTTTTTTCAGCCATATACTATCTGTCTTTTTTACGCTCTCTATTTTTTACAGTTTCTCCTAATCGCTCACCACCTCTGAGAACTGTTTATGTCACCTTCCTTCCAAACTGGTGTTCATTTTCTTTTGCCCTTTTTCTTCTTTTCTGTCTTTCTCATGAGGCATCGTGATCCAAAGCAAGTGTGTTTTCGCTTAATGTCTGTGCAGAAGTCTCACATTTTCACATAGGGATCTGAGAAGCCGTTGACATCCATGGCGGCCAGATGGGCACAGCGCAGCACTCCGACACATAAACCCGTTCGTCGGCCCTCTCCTTCGCCCTCTGCAGGCGGGGTTAAGAACTGCAGAGAAAGCAACATTCGGCCCCTCTCTTCCAAACTGGTCATTTGTTCATTCTCCCACTGCAAAAAAAAAAAATTTAATAAATAAATAAGAAGTTAAGGAAATGGCTTATTGATCATCAGAGCTGTCTACATTAACCTATTACTACACGCTCTTGATGCACACTGTTGACTTTTTTCCTGTCATGTTTTTACGTGATGTTTGTCTGATTGTTGTCTAGATTATATATTCTAACATAATAGATATTTTACTAAATGTATTTTATTTTTTTAGAGCTATGTACTATGTAATCTTTTTTTTAGGGTGACTCTTACCATCTGTCTAGGGACTGCAGATGAAAAATAGCCTTTAGGCTAATTCTGGCATATTGACAGAAATGTCTATGAATATGCATGCAATGTCCCTGTACTAAATAAATAAATATATGTTAGATCCTAAAATTTAACTAGATTAGGCATTTCCTGATGAAAATAGAAAATTTCCTGTGCAAGGTAGCAGAACAATAATGTTCTCAATTTTAGGTGGGCTTAGGTTTAAGGCTTAAATGATCCACATATGAAATGCCACATCACATCTTGTTTGCAGTTGGTTAGTCACGAATCGGCACTGTCAGGTAGCTATGTATGAAAAGAAGACACAATCAAAATGCTTTATGCAAATATACGTAAGAAAGACGACTAATCACAGTTCAGTAAGCAAATATTAGGATGACACCATTGCTGTTGGTTACATTTCAGCATTCTATGAATGTTTAATACAATGGAAGATTTTGAAACTTTAATCTTGAGCTGTCTCAATAAGCACACGAGTGAATTTGTGACTTGTGAATCAGTACCTCATGAATGTAAATTTGATGGGGACTCGATCTACTACTAAACAATGGAACACTGATGATTTTGTTTTCTGCAACATGGTTTCATGGTTCCATACTACTATCTGGTATGTTTTCTCCAAATAATTCATTTCATAGGAATTGTTGTGCATTTTGATGCCTTAGAACAATTTTGACAAAGACACAAACCAAAAAAGAAATAGCTGACTCTGTGTGCTTAATTGTCTTAAAATATAGGTTTTTGATTTGAACTACGTAAGCATTTAGCACCGGTGGTAAATTAGAGGTTAGCACAAACCCTAACCAGGAATATCAATACAGTTCTATCTTGCAAGAATTGTAATAAATCATCTATATTAAAAGTGAGGGAGTAGGAGACTTGGTACAAGGCATACAACCGAACCAATGACAAGGACTCCCTCTGGGTAAAATCTGAGAATGTTCATCATGTAGAATAATTATAAACAGCTGGTTATGGCATGTCAGGATGTTAGTGTAATGTGACATCTAATACACTAGGCTCATTTTTAAATCATGGCAATCTGTTGTTTTGGAAAATTCAATTAAAAGTATTTCCATAAATAAAATACTAATACAAGATGTTTATTCTGCCTTAGAATGGAAAATAACCATTTAAAATTGTGTAGTCTTCTGTAAATGCTCTATGGTGACTTGTATGATTCACATTCATCCTCTACCGGATGCAGACAGTAATTTATCACTCTCTCTTTCTGGTCTGTTTAGGCTCAGCTCAGCTTCAATGGCTTTCAAAGGGGGAAGTGGGAAGATCTAAGCACAGCTTCTTCAGGATTTTGTGATTTGGAGAGTTAATGAGACATAATTGTCTGATTTGGTGCAACGCTTGCACACACACACACACACACACACACACACATATTAGTAAGGCTTGAGAGAAGCTTATTTGAATTCACATTAATAATGCATGCAGAGAATGCTCAAGTGTGACTGAATATGTAACACTTACACCACAAGAGCAACAATATTTACATGAAATATTCGATAAACCTTCTGTATGGGTTAAAACCATTTATTTTTTTTAGTTATCTGGGTCAGGAGCTATAAATGATTGTAATGGGGAAGATCAAAGTTTAGACTGGTGCAGAGATGTCGAGGAAACACATGAGCACATCCATGTGTGTCATTTCTGTTATAAAGTACAGTGTCACGTCTGCATGGCTGAATACATTAAAATATGAAACTATTTTTAAAGATGTAAATTATATTAGTTCCTTTTTAATCTTCTCTTAATTTCACACACAGGTAGATTTTATATAATTTCACTTTGATTTGAACAGATGCTGCTTTTTTAATTGTAATTTAATATGCAAGAAATATTACAAGTGTTTTTCATATTTTCATTCCCTTAAATCATCACTTTTGGTGGGAAAACAACAGCACAAACACAAACTAAGGACTAATAATTTGATTAATTGATTAATTGATTAATTCTTTGATTTGATTAATTCTGTTTTGTGGTAATAGTTGATTTGCCATCTTGTCTGATAAAATAAAAGAAACCAGCATGATATAATACAAATGGTAAAATTACCAACAATGTAACTCTCAATCCTTCACTAAGCAATAATTAATCCTAAATTATTTTTACATGTCCAATCAGTTTCCATCCCGTTCTTTTTCTTGCTGTTGTTTAAGTAATCAAGGCATAATTAATAAAATGTAGTTTCTGTTAGTCTGAAGTACCCCTTTTTCTTTTAGAAATAATAAGTTAGGGAGGTAAAAAGTACTTCATAACAGGAAGGAATGTATATTTAAACTATAAGGATTTCACAATGAACGTTTTCAGTGTGACATAACAGTGGAAATAATTTTCCATGCATTTACGAGGAAAGTGTAATATCTTTGCATATGAAAATTCCCAAAGAGAGCCGTAAGCTTTATATCCCGTTCATACTCTGTTCCTGCCTTGCTTTGTTTTAAGCTGTCTGTCTCTCTCTCTCTCTTTTTCTCTCTAGCAGCCGCACCCACAGTACCAGCAAAAGAACAGGATCAATATAGGGTAATCATCACAGTGTCTCGCTCCCTCTGTTTGTTTTTCTAAAAAGAGCCTTGTTATTTCTAGTTATTTACCTTGCACTTTGAAATTCCCCTTACAGCCCTGTTTGCCACATTGTGTGTGTGTTTGTCTGTGCAAGGGTTGCGGGTGTGTATGCCCATTAGTGAAAAGCATGCCATGCCAAACCTGTTTTCTGGCAAGTCTGATGTTTCATTAATGTAATTGTGTGGGGATAGATACAGATAGAGAGAGAGAGATAGAGTGCGTGCGAGACAGAGGAGTGAGTGAAAGTTGCTTTGCCAGACCTTCATTAATTTAACAGTGAGGAGACACATACAGATAGTGGGCAGAATGAGGGGCGACCCCTGCGTTATAAACAGACAACTCATAATGCAAACAGCGAGGATGGCAACCCAGCTGCCAAATGCTCAAGAGACAGAAAAAATAGCTGCACATATAATTCCCTGCCTCATGAGGTCAACTACACTAAGAAATGCCACTTAGACGTTGCGGTTAGTTGCAATTGTTGCAGTTTCACACACAGTTTGTACATTCGGGCAAACATATGCAATGTTGAGATAAAAATGCATACACTTCAGGGTGGAAGAATTGATTTTGTTTCTGGTATTTGCAAACATATAATAGGTATGCTAACAATGTTTCAGTATAATCAATTAGGTCACTTATAAAATGCAAACATCATATACTAAGATTTTATGTTTTTGCTAGAAACTCTTTGAGGCAAATTATAGTTGGAAAGAAGCAGATGGTGGCATAGCAGCTTTCCTATGACAGTGCAAGTTTCTTAAACTAATTAAAATGCCAATGGCATTTCTGAATGGGATAAATTAATTTAGCGCATGAGTTTAAATGTTGTAGCATGATTTGCTTGGGTTTTTGGCTGCTGCTCCGTGAGGTTTCAAACTAATGACCTCCATCAAGCAGACTCACTAATGATAATGAGGGGGTGTATCCAGCAGGTAAACAGGTGTGCAATGAGGCTGGGCACACACACACACACACACACACACACACACACATGTGCGCACTCGCACAGCTTTCATATTCAGATTTGCGTGATTAGCAGCAGATGGCATGGCACCAGTCATCAGCCTCCACCAGAACCTGTATGTGTGCCAGTCATGACACCAATACAAGAGCTTTAAATATACATTGTGACTGTTGCGCCATAAACTCTGTTTGTGACCATGTGATCCTAACTTCATGACTGGAACTTGTTGTCTTACTCCACCTTTTTTCTTTTTATAACATTACCAACTCTCAGTTAATTTTCCTTCATCTAAAAATTTTCATCATCATATGTCATCAGACTCTCCCTCATGACTTTCCAATCTGTAATGTTTTTCTTTTTTTATATAACACAAAGGGAAAAGTTTAGCAGAATTTCCAAGCTGTTCTTTTTAATACAATGAAATTAAATGGTGACCACCCTTGTGGAAAACTATGCTTAATTGTATTGATTGTGCCCCTGTAGTGAAAATAATTAACTTAAAGAGAGTACACATTAATGGCTAAGTTTCTTAAAGCTACACTGTGTGATTTTTACCCCCATCTAGCAGTGAAAAGATATATGACCATTCAGTGAATATTAGTTTCTGTTCCTCTCAATTCCGATTTCGTTTTAACTCCTACGGTAGTCCAAGATTAACATGGCTTCCAGTTCGACCTCGTCCATGAGTGTTAACTCATACGTAAACGCGAAAGGCGAAGCTTGAATTAACGGGTATGTCCCTCTTTGGCTAATGTACTTTCAAGATGGAGGGGCAACATGGCGACCGACATTAGAACCCCTTACCCGTATATATTTTCAATGGCACATTCTACACTCACGAGAATACTTTATTACTTGAACAAAGTAAATATACTTTATTGAGCACATGTATTTTTGAAAGAACTAAGTGTTTTTAGCAAAGAATAAACTAAGAGGTACACAGTGTAGCTTTTTAAGTATCAATAATTCTATTCATTAACACTCATCTTTGATCACCAAAATTACATATTTAAAAAATGTTCCTTGAAAAAAATGCCTGCCTTGAATACCTTCAATATAACAGTACACCCTTACTTCATTTAGTATACAGGGTTCTATGAATATGCAAATTTGCCCCATCTCCACACACTCACTCACACCAGCTCAGAGATCCACTCATTGACGTGATTGGCTACAAGGTAGTTTGTGACGTCAGAAACACCAGCGATTTCAAACCACGTTTTTGAGTCTGTCTTTGGTTCACCACAGTTTTAAAGAGAAAATACTCAGCAATTGTGTTGACTTATGAATTTGCACATGGTTTGTCTTAAAGCATATTATAGCTGGATTTCCACCACAGGGGAACTTAAAGGTTATTTTTATTTTTGAAGTACTTTTTTTTAAAGTATGCTAAAAGTTTCTTAAGTTTCCGTCTGTTCAATAAATCATGAAATGGCATGTGTATGACTCGGCAACTTGTATTTCCATTTTTTGGCGTGCTATCAACACACACAATCGCTTTTCAGCGTGTTTATGAACGCCGTTGACTTAACGTTACATTATTGTATATATAAATGACCTACCCCAACCCCATCCATAACCTACCCGTCACTGGGGTTAATACCATTTATGAGTCTTCTCCTACCATCCTAGGAAAAAAATATCACTCCCCAGACGTAGATCTACATTTTGCTTTGTTTCGCTCGGACACTTAACGGCATGTTCATACACGCGGAATCACTCGGACATTTAACGGCGTAGACATACGGATAGCTCAAAATGCGTATAAATAACACGCCACTTGACTTGAAAGTGGCGTGTATGTTTACGCAAAGGTCATGATGTCATGTTGCCTAAACAAAGTTGTTGCATTTGCACTCAAATCTTGCCTAACATCTCCATTTGTTCTCTACAGTAGAAAGTCAGATTTGGAATGGCAAAAGAGGGTGAGTAATTGATTGTATTTGCTATAAAATTATTTCATTTTTTTGAGTGAACTGTCCCATCATTTCATTTGGCCATCACTGTCTCTGTGATCCCTCTAAGCAGTTCAGCAGTTTTCCCCTGTCAGTTCTTGTTCTCTTCCTCCAGAGACCTGTGAGTGTGTGGTCTGTCACTCATCCAGCACCCTCTGTCCATTCATAACCCTGTAACCTCTCGCTCCCTTTCTTCATTTTCCCTATTTATGCCGTCTGCGGCTTTCTCCTGTCTTTTCCACATAATCACTACCCTTCCTTTGAAAATGTTATTATTCTGGTCTCCAGAAATCTCTGATGCTTTCAGGTGGGAGGCAAAGTGTTCTTCTGCCTCTGTCCTTTCAAATGTATCTTTTATCATTTTATTATTAACAGAAATGAGAAACAGAGCGATGAATGTATATAAAATAAGTGTTTTTAGCAATATTCAAATGAATGCGTAAATCAAACGAATGCACAATTACAATGGGTAAACAAACAATAACCCTAATGTGGCTAGTGTCCATTTACTATTACTGCTTTACTGTCACCTAGTTATTATTCATGAGCCAGCCTGATGAGATCTTAAATCTCTCTCTGGCTGACTGTTCAGCAGTTTCTATCGTGAAATTGTCAACACTGAGCATTGGCAACATAAGTGCTCTAAAACAACATCAAGTTAAATAGAACAAATTGCATCTCATCTCTCTGGGGGCCACAATGTCGTTAAGCTAATTTTATCTGTAATTTATGGATGCCGCATTCATTCTTGTTGTAAGTGAGAGAAGGGATTTGCTTTAAACACGGAAATGGGCAGATAGCACATCCACATGCCTGCCATTTCCTTAACCGACCCCATTCTCATCCTCCTTGTGTCCTTTTTACTTTCCGCATTTCTCATCGTGGGGTACCTAGCATGTTGAGACCAATTTTGGATGGTAATGAAAATGCTAATCAATTTTTTCCATCCCACTTATCATAATGTGCTCAATGTTCTTATTGAAATGCAAATGAGTTTAGATCCCAATGTAAAAACATTTGAGTGTGAGAAGATTAATCAGCAGGCATTATTTAAAACGTCATCGCGAACTCTCTTCGGGAAATGTCAGCGCTTTATTAATGGTCTTTTTCGCTGTGAGAGAGACGGAGAGAAAACAGGTGGTTTTGGGGTAGAGTACCTCTCGTAGGTAACAGGAAATCCCTCGCAGTGCTGCTCCCATGGCTGTAGGAGAGGGAAGCTGGAAGAAACAGACATAAAGGAGACCGAGATGAAGAGAGCAGAGTGTCCGTATGTATTTTCCATTTGCTACATTCAAACAGTCAGTGTTTGGGGTTGATCTGTTAAAATCAAGCTTCTTTTCTAATCTCGCAATAGCTGTGACTTTCTAACACTAATTAAAGTAAACAAGATAGTGACATTAGTAACTGAGGAAGGTCTTATCACAATTGACAATTTAATTAATAAACATGTCTAGTCCAGGTGCAAGTTCATCCATCAATTCGAAATTAACCAAAAGCAACTTGGAATGCATTGCTTTTTTCACTAAGTGCAAATAGCCCACCTTGGCAAATGGTATTTACACTAACTCAGCGCACTGACATCTGGACAAAACACTGACATCTGGACAGTAGAAATAGTGTAGGGGTAGGATCCTACCAGAGTTCAAATCCGCCTTTTGCCAAACTCGCTCTACTCCCTTTTCCCATCACATATTGGAAAGGCATTTATTTTAAAGGAAGAAAATATTAAAAATAAAGTGCCTAACATGTGTTCAATAATAAAGTGTTAAAGGAGTAGTTCACTTTTAAAAAAACTTTTGCTGATAATTTACGCACGTCGATATTTACGCACGATAATTTATGTCATCCAAGATGTCCACGTCTTTCTTTCTTTAGTTGAAAAGAAATTAAGGTTTTTGACGAAAATATTCCAGGATTTTCTCCATATAATGGACTTTATTGGGAACCAAACGGTTCAAGGTCCAAATGAGAGTTTCAGTGCAGCTTCAAAGGGCTTTAAACGACACCAGACGATGAATAAGGGTCTTACCTAGCGAAACAATCGGTCATTTCAAAAATAAATAAAAAAGTTTTATAAGCACAAATGCTCGCCTTGCTCTGTTCTGTGATGAGCGTTTGTGACTCTCCTGTTCGAATTCGTTCATCAAAATGAACAAATCTTTTTTCGAGTCATGACTCGGGTCCTAGATAAGACCCTTATTCATCGTCTGGTGTCGTATGAAGCTGCACTGAAACTCTCATTTGGACCTTGAACCGTTTGGTTCCCGAAGAAAGTCCATTATATGGAGAAAATCCTGGAATGTTTTCATCAAAAACATTTTTTTTTTTCAACTGAAGAAAGAAAGAGATGGTTATCTTGGATGACATGGGGGTGCGTAAATTATCAGCAAAAGTTTTCTTTAAAGTGAACTACTCCTTTAATTGGTGAGGGGTAGGTGCAAGGAGGACTTTTATTGTACCAATAAGGTAGCTTCCATTTAATAATTTTAATAAATATAATCATTTACACTCTGTTTTCATTGCATACCGTTTAATATACAACAACACCGAAGTGCAAATAGTATTTGCCACCATTTATAAGTATAAATAGCATCTAACTATTTTACACTTATTGCAAAGAAAATGCTGCTATTTTCACTTGGAGTAAAGAATCTATTGCTATTTAAACTGAGAGTAAATAGCAGCTATCGCTATATGTATATGTACAATAACTGGTTGAGGTCTTAGATTAGATAGAGCAAGCTTATATTAAAGAGTAACTAAACCCTAAACCAACTTTTTTTAGTTAATGATCTGTAAGAATGGATCTTTATTAATACCAGTCATTGATTCGAGTACCTTTGACATTTGTGTATAAAGTGTTTTATTTCTACAATATATGGTGTAAAAACGTCTTAGTGCTTCCCTCTTCAGGTTGAACGGTGGCTACTGCAGTTGAATTTTCCTATTGGATGTTCCGCACTTCGTGACGTACAGTACGCACGTTTCAGCTCACCACGCTCTTGGTACGAGCTACGCCCTTGGCAGTATAAAAACCAGCTTGTTTCGTCAAAAACCAGTCAGGAGTTGGAATTGCGAGTATTGAAAACGATCAGGATAGAGTGTTCTACCATCTATTTCATCCCCTCTATCTCCACTTTTTCAGCATTTTTCAAAAATTGCCAGTGGGTGGAGTCAGGCTCTGACCAGGGGTTTAGTTACCCTTTAAATAGATTTAGATCAGGCATTGATCACAATGACGTGACATTTAGACTCAAACTGATTGTGTGTGTGTGTCTTACAGGTGGTGGATGTTCTAAACAGGTGTAGAAACGTTTTGCCTGGTCTGGTTTCACACGTCGTAGGGCCACACGAGACTCTCCAATAAACTCATTATGAGTCAGTTTATCCTCATCGCACACCGATAACCTGAGAAAAACAACAACAACATAAAAAAAGAGTGAGAGAATTATTCAATTATACTGGAAGGAGAGCAAAGGTAAACATTAAAGTTGCAAATGTAGTATGGCAGGAAGTGATAAAAAAAAAAGTGTAAAAAAAAACCCACCCGTGGAGCAGCAAGAGCTGGAAATGGCTCAGACAGAAATGTATATTTATGAATGGGATTAGGGTGATATTTCTGGCTTCGCCAGTTTGGTCGGAAGTAAGCGCCTGCCCTTTTTTTTCAAAGCTTTGCTAGCGTTTTTGTGGAACTGACACTGTCCGCTGCTCCTGTACTCTCCCTTGGAGATAAACGGCTAAATGACTTTTCTCTGACTACTGTCACCCCGCCACTGAAAAAAGGGCAAGTCTGAAAACACCAGCAGTCACAGTCTCATATTGCCAGGATACTGTTCATTTATAACATGAGTGCACAGGCAATTTTCTGTGGATAATCACATGATAAACCAGAGTGCTACAGCAGTCAGGAAGAGCATCTTTCAGCACTCCAAAAATATTCAGGCTAAATATATGGCGAATTTCCAAGACGTGCACAACAGCAGTTGTACCAAGAAACTAGATCATTCCTAAAGGTTCATAAGCGAAAGGTAGGTCTGCTAAGCAGTAGCCCTCACTGTCAAACACACCTACTGCCGAAGCAAGATATCCAGGCTACTGTCAAATCACTGCTCTCAGAGAGAAGAATTTTTTTAAGACATATCCAGAATAGATTTACAGCCGGATAAAGTAAGAGAGACTCACGGGTGCATAGATGTCTTCACTAACCTCAGAGTCTTCCTGTGCATATCCTCCTCCGTGATGCCAAGGTACGAAAGAGTCTCATTCCAAACAGGATTTAGAGAATTACGAACAGTTTTGGTTTTCAGTTTATTGGCCTGTGGGTATAAAACATTTTAACTGCTGTCACATTATTTATAGAAATAATAAATAAATAAATGAAAATAGATTAAAAGAGTAAAGGTTTTGGAATACCTTCATTCTTTGATGCATATATACAGTATATGATCAAAAGTGACAGTAAATACATGTATACTATTATAAAAGAATTTAAATAAATGCTGTTCTTTTGAACTTTCTATTAATCAAAAACTCTAGTAAAAATTGTATCACGGTTCCACAAGAATATTAAGCAGCACTGTTGAGCCAAACATGGATGATATTGAGAAATGAGTAGCAAATCATCATATTAGAATGATTTTTGAAGAATCACATGACACTGAAATCTGGAGTAATGTAAGTAAATTACATTTAAATATATATATTCTATTTTAAATTTATGTAATATTTAACAATATTACTGTTTTTACTGTATGATTGATCAAAAAAAATGCTGCCTTGGTGAGAATAAGTGACTTTTTCAAAAATATCTAACATATTCCAAATTTAAATCGTATAAAACATTTTTAGTAGCAGCTGTCTCTGGATTAAACCAGAAACAATTGCAGTATTCCAGAGGTACTTAATGTGTCACCAGTTTGTCAGGTTTTATCATTTTTAAATTATACTTTCATCAATAAAACACAATATGCCCAAAAAATATGTTTTTTGATAAAAATATGACATCCCCTTTTAATAAATGTTTTTGGCTTAATGACAGAACTGAAGACAATTTTTGGAACAGTCTGAGGAGCGTGCTTTTCTGTTCCAGCATGATAATGCTGTGCACAAAGCAAGATCTATAATGAAATGGTGAAAAAAAAAAAAAAAAAAAAAAAAACGTGACAGGCACAAAGCCTAAACCTGAATCCCATTGAACACTACTGGGATGAATTGGAATGCCAACTGTGAGTCAGGCCCCATCACCCAACATCAATGCCTCTCTGATGCTCTTTTGTCTGAATGGGAACAAATCTCTGCGTGCCTGCTCCAACATCTAATAGAAAGTCTCTCTAGAAAAGAGGCATCAGTTAGGGAAGATCAACTCTTCATTATTTCCCACAGTTTTGAGATCAAATGTACAAGCAGCACATATGGGTTTGCTGTTCGGGTGTCCTTTTATGTTTGGCCATAGTGTTTAAAGAGTACAGTCATACATAATTAGGTCGTTTAGGTCAGAGGTTTGGTGGTTTGGATGATACATAACAACTATGAAGGTCATAGATTTGGTTGGGGGGTTGAAGTGTGAACCGAGTCCCAGGGCATTAGATCCACTCATGCATAGTTTTATAACGTAACTGCAATAAAGTAATAGCCTAGTTAGCTATGACTTATTTATATAGGATTTATGATGTAGTTTATATGATTTAAGCATCAGGAAGCTTATCAGTTTGACAGTATTTTCTACTTGAAAATGCCATGGGAAGTCAGATTAACTTTACTTAACATTTTCGTATACTGAAATTGTTTATGTCCCACTCTGTAAGAGTTCACATCAGGCTCTTAATGATTTCGGCTATGTGATCTCTTGCGATATCAAAGGCCAGGTTTTTCCTAATATCAATCATTATTAAAACATTTTACACATGGGAGGAACAGCTATTGTCCGGTCAATAATTCAAAAACGTCCAGACTTGAAAGCTCTTGATTCTAACATGTACTTACCCCTATATGAAAAAGTAATCACAGGTGCAGTATAAGACCAATTGTGGCTCCTCATTAGCCTGCATACTCCAATGTAGATATTTTTCTTTTTTTATTCTTCTATAGTATTTGTTGTGAAAAATAACTAACTGCCTATGCATTTAGAAACAACAGCATGTCAAAGTTGTAATATAAATATATAGCAAAAAATGTATTCCCTATCATAAATTCTACAAGACAAAAATGTACCACAATAACTGTTGCTAAAATAAGGGTGGTCATTAAAAAGCTTATATTGCTGCAACAAGATGTTTTCTTCTCTTCTCATCAGTCTGTATAGTTTATGTGGCGGTTTTAGATCATGTTTGACTTGTGTATCGAGGAGTAAGTTATCAATAGAATCAAATGGGTCGCACATTTTATGTTGTAAGAGGTGTTAGTTTTCGTTGATGGTGGGTTACCTTCCCCACATCCCCTCGTAAACTAAACCCCTGCCCTGAATCGTTCAAATGACTAATACAAATCTGTCCCTTATAGTTTATCCATAAAAAGTTTAATTACTCCAAACAGGATCTCACCTTGCAGGCTCCTGGTAGAAGATGAAGTTTGACATACGGATCTGCCAGGCCATTAAAATCCATGGGTTTCAGACCCTAAACAAAAAACAAGCCGTTTTAATGGACAGGAATGCTACATACAAAATATATATAGAAACAAACGTAAGGAGCCCTGTTGAAGTAGAACAAACTGCTAAAGGGTAAATCACCTGCGGGTTTTTGCAGTGTGAGTCAGAGATAGGTGTGTGAGAGTGTAGTGAACTGCAGAGGTGTGAGATGGACGTTACCTTGGCTCTGATGATGGTACAGTGCAGTGAACTGGTTGCTCTCTCATACCTCAGTTCAAACTCTAACGTCCCGAGAGCAGCTACACAATCATAGGAATGATAGTATAAATGTTAATAACATCACCGTATCTACCATAATAGCTGACAGGAAAGCAGATTAAACAATCCATTATGAAACACAATTAGGAGGCTTGCATATCTGACCGATGGTAAAAATGGATAACAACATTACAAATTGGAATATTAAGTCAGTACTAGCCTATGCATATTATTGCAAATGCAAAGTACAAGCTTAATATTGCTAAATTATTGAGATAACACTTCCCATATAATGTTTACCAGGCACTCTATGGAAAAATCAACAAAAAAAAAATAAGGTAATATGATCAACATAATACTTTGCTATGTTCAATATAGCTATGTATTTCTGCAGGGAATATAGCAGGTAGGATGCCCCTTTGTAGATTTGCATTTCCATATGGATAATAAATTAATTATTTGATAACACATATATCTGACGACATATTCGTTTGTTTAGTTGCTTGTTAGTTTGTTTTTAGTAAAGGAAGTGTTTATTTTCTGGCTTTTTTTAAACAAGACTTTTTGTCATTCATTTTTTGACATAACTAGGATATTTATTCAAATATAGTCCACACCTCATATGCTATAGGCCTAAAAGATTAAGTTAACTTATTTTGTAATTACTTAACAATGTATGATTTCACGAATTGATTTTCTCCTACGTTTTTGGTTTTGTTGTTGAGTTGATGCAAAAGGAATAGCTATGAAATGACTTGCCTGAGGACAGGTGGCATTGTTTTGGTGTCTTTTCCCATGGTTGAAACGCTACTTTTTCTGAAATCTTTTTAAGAAGTTTTACTGAATCAACACCTTCTGATGATTATTAGGCTAGTACTAGTGCTAAAGAGGAATATCCGGCCGCTCGCCGTTTTGACTGTAGCGTCTAGAGGTCTTTCACGTGACGTCACATTAAAGAGCGTCAAAAGTACGACATGTTGTTTGGATTTTGCGGTAAGATATTAAAACCTGACACTTTGTTCGAAATAATTAACAACTACAAAACAGTAAAAAAATAAAAAAATCTCATAATCGCTTTGCTCCGACTTCACGTGTTCCCAAGGGTATGTGGCTTGCTGTCCTGGCGGAGGGAGGATCCCGACCTATGAATTTTGGCCCGACCTAAGATAATCCCCCGGTAGTGATAAGAATAGTTAGGACTAGAAGTGAGGAGATGATGCGTTGGAGGGATGCTGATAAACTGTCGTGATATGGCAAGCCGTTTTAACTTTAAATCATTCGCAGGATATGATTTCTTGATATCAACACTTATATATGTGTGACTAAATAGTTTCCTTTTGGTTGTGTGTGGTAGCCTATTTAAGCAAGCATACAATGTCAAAACTTACTACTGTCATCACTGTCTGAACTGCAGATGTCCACAGATGTCTCAATGCTGCTTGCTGCTGACAGACTCCCACCCCCTCCCCTCGCCCCTGCCTGGAGAGGGGACAAGAGACTTCCCCTCGTTCCTCCAGAGGTTCCAACCCCTGGGCTAAGAGCCAGTGGAGAAGCAGGGTTAGAAGAGATGGGCTCAGCGGTTGGGGAGAGTCTGGGGAAATAGGCAGAGATCTGTCTAATTGGTCGTATGGGTCCAGGACAGACGTCAATGGCCATGTGTTCCTGGATGGAGATGGTGAGCTTTTTTCCCTTACGCACCGTCATAGAGCTAAACCAGAGAGAAACACAGATATTTTGACACTTAGATGTGCTTCATCCAACGCGAATTAAAATACACAGACGGTTCCACCAGAGTCACCGGCTGTTACAACGATAGTTCAAGTGAAAATTCATGCATCATTTACTCACCTTCATGTTGTTTCAAATGTGTTTAACTTTCATCTCCTGCAGAACACTGTCTTTTGTTCTTACAATTGGACTTTCACTGAATGTATATTTTTTTTGTATCATTCACAGAAGAAAGAAAGTCATACAGGATTGGAATGACTGTCTGAAGGTTAGTAAATGAGGATAGAATTTTCATTTTTGCGTGAACTATCCTAGCTTCGTTCACACAGCAATTAGTGCTCGATTCTGATTTGCTACTCATATTACACATTTGTTTATAAGGTGATGGGCCACAGAAAAATTTGTGTGCTGGCAACAAAGAGGATGAAGACCAGCAATTTAGCTTTTATAGAGCTGTCACCATAATACTTATGAGTTCTAACGCCTCGCTGTCCATGTACTGACTACTTTCGCAGCTATCTCCCACCAAAGAACTACCAGTCAACACAGGATTGTGATGAATGTCAAGTGTCGAATTCTGACATAACTGTTCAGACTGAGGTTGCATTGACGATTGGATCTTTATCTGGTTTAGTACCATAAATCAGAATCAAAAATACCAGATTCCATGTGCTGTTCACATTGTCATGAAAAAAAGACACTTTTGCCTGCAGTCTGAACGAAGCCTGAGGCCGTGTGTCCACCAAAGTGTTTTTCCACGCGCCTGTCGTAACTATTTTTTTCAATGGGAGCGCCGTGTTTTTTAAACGCCATGAGCGTAACGAGGCGCTGAGCGTTTTTTTCACGCTGAAGTGCCGAGCGCCCAGCATTTCTTACTGGTCGCCGAGAGTTGAAAAATGTTCAACTTTGGATAAAACGCAGCGCTCATCATCACTGTCACTTTTTACCCATCCGTCCAATCACAGTGGAGGAGGGGCGGGACTAATACTACACCGACTAACTGTCACAACATTCTTTCTGTACATCTACATCAACCAACAGAGCTAAACGAGCAAAATGGATGAAAAATACATTTTTAGTATGAAACAAATTATCAAAAGTTACAAATTAGTTACAAAACAAATTATTAAAAGTGAACTCTGCTGCGGATATTCCGTATCATAGCAATGAAATGTCTCAACGGAAAAAACGCTGCGCTGCCAGAACGCTCTCAAGTGCCCAAAGCATGGCGTCTTCAGAAGAGCCTCTAGCATTTTCAGCTGGCTAAAAATGCTTACGGCCTAAGTGCCTTATTCGAGGGCATGTGTTAATAGGCTTGGGGATAGAAATGTGAACTTGGTGTTAACAGCTTAATCCATAACCATCAAACTTCCCATTATTTCAAAAGCAGATTCAAAGCAGTTTCATGAGCACAGATGTTCATGTAGTCCACCCCAGCATGGCAGAAATTCACTACTCAGATCTTGCGGGCACTTGGTTTCACAGAAATGCATTTAGTCTTTGAATCTCCTTTGAATGTTGAGGCCATTGAATTCGACCCAAAGAGATGTTCTTGTTCTTGCAAGTTGTAGACATTTTACTGGATCTAGAGACCTGTGTTAGAGTGCAAAGCCAAAAGTTTCTTTGTTGCGTTCTACTTTAAATGCTTAAACGTTGAACAGACAGAAATATACATGAGAGTTACAACTTAGTTGCTGAGTGGAGCTGCAAACTACAGCATAAGAGCAATAGGCTAGAGGCTGTGAGCATGAGTAGGTACAAAGCGAAGTGAGGAAAGAGTGCGGCTGGAGGTTCAGGGTTGGACGAGAGTGGGCGTTTGCATGCTGCGGCTTAAAAGTTTGTGCTGAGCTCTAGCTTTAAAAACTCGCCATCTAAGCCCTGCTTTGGTTTATTTAGAAGTCGTGAGCAAAAATCTATGCTTGAAGCCAAAAGCAGTGCTTGGCCGATTTTCTCTTCCCTGCAGGCTTACTCAATTTTATACGATGTAAATTGAAACCACTGGTAAGCCTTTGTGTCTTCCTTTCTAAATTAAAGACCTTCTTAACAGCTTTGTTTGTTGCTGTTTGTCTGACAGACTGTCAGATACGCATTTGATCTGTAATACCTCCAGAGACTGAGATGAAATGACCTGGCTTGTCAAAACTGTTTCTGAGCTGCCGGACCTGCGTGCCACAGCACACATTCAATTTCGACCTGCTCTTCTCACCCTTAACGTGAGCTGAGCTGGAAAACAGGGCAGCAGTAAAGGTTTGTCAGCTTCACTAAACTCTTTGCTTAAAGCACCACTGAGAACTGCAAATGAAGGAGCTTCAGACCACAAAATATTAGTTTTAAGAGTTACTGCGCTAGAATGAGGAGAGGATGGGAAGTAGAGTTAGAGAAAGAGAGAAAGTGAGTGTGTAATTTGATGAGAAGTGAAATGCACTTTTGACTTTATTCGTGGTTCTTGCCACAACGTCTTGTTTCTATGGGGACACTTGATTTGCAAAAGCTCCCCTGAGAATGTTTCAGGGCATTTGCAGCTAATCCCAGGACAAATAACAGTATAAACATTTTTTTTTATAATAAAATATGTATATATTAATAATTTTACAGTAATATTTTAACCATCATATTTTTGTTTTATCATTTATTTATTATACACTGCTGTTCAGAAGTTTGGGGGTCAATAAGAAATTTAAAATTTTATTCAGCAAGGATACATAAGTGAGAAGGATCGAAAGTTATAGTCAAAACATTTATAATATAAAATGGATTTCTATTTCAAATAAATTCTTTTCTTTTCAACGTTGTATATATAAAATAAACCTGAAAAAATCTATCATGGTTTCCATAAAAATATCAAGCTGCTCAACTGCTTAAAAATGATGCTTAAAACAATAATGCTTAAAATTCAGCTTTGCCATCACACAACTAAATTACATGTTTACATATACATTTTAAAAAAAACTGTTATTTTTAATTGTAATGATATTTCACAATATATTTATTTTTGATCAATAAAAGCAACCTTAGTGAGCAGAAGACACTTCTTTCAAAATCAATAGAAAATCTTGTCAAATGAGACACTCGTAGCCGCAGTTTCAAGAGGAGAATCGGACACATACTCATACATATAGTAGCTGACCTTTAGGGTAATTTTGGACCATTTGGCCAAAAAGCACATCATTACATGCTATTGCAGCGATTTTCACTTGTCAATCCATCAGGGCGTCCACTGCTTTGACAGGCACCGTGCTGTCTCCATGGTGGTGGCAGGTAAGTTGTCATAATGGCATTGGTGAAGCCCAGCTAATGAGATCATGACACATGGACGCTAACAAGATTAGCGATTAGCACAGTACCTCACGCTTAGCAGAATTTTTTTTTTCTCAGGCTTCAAATCAAATCTCTTCCCACCACATGCTGTACATAATAATACATGTCTGTGATGGTTTATGAAACCTGTTTATTTCATTATTTATTTGAACATTTTCAAAGGTTTGCAAATCACTGGCGTAGACCGGAATCTAAGGATTATTTTTCAACCCTCAGACTGAGGGAAATGTCAATTGGTATCTAAAGTCATTATGTGACGAAATTAGATTTTGGAAAGGATACTTGCACACTAGAACAAATCTGAATAATATTATAATTTTTATGAACTAAATGTGATTGTATCATATATTTTTTCCATCTCCTGAGACCATTTCTTCCGAGGTAACTATGTGGGCTCATTTCTATTCAAAAGTGATTTTTTGTCTTTCAGAAACTGCCAAGCCAGCGGCGGATTTGAATGTAATCTAGTTTGCTTAGATTTGATGTGTGCTTCTTCTGGTGGGCAACTGTAGACCTCATTCATAGTGCAATCTTTTAGGAAATCTATTATTTAGCAACCCAAATGGCTAGTGCAATGCTAGTTAAGTCAATCTAGAATTAAGTAAGATGTTGGCACTGTTTTTATGTCATCAATAAAAAATAAAAACAAACTTGCAGTGACTCGCATGCTCTGCAGTGTGTCGTGGCAGTGTGCACACTAAGAAATAAATCCGTAAAATAGCAGAAAAGGTAAAAAATTACTGGGATTTTTTTTTTACATACATTTACTCTAAAACACAACGTAGTGTAAATTTCAAAATACAGGTAAAATAACAAATATGGAAAATTCCTTCAGATCAATACAGTACGCTGTGCCCTGTTTTTATGGACATTTTTTTTTTGAGTGCAGATTCTCTCGCCTACTGCTTTGCAAAGTGAACTGTGCGCATTGCGCAATAACCCGCTAACTCTGTGAGTGCAGTCACAAAATGAATGAATGTCAGTGCTTGAGATTGGATCACAGCAAGACATGAAGAGGCTGTTGAGAAGATGCCTCGGACTGGGGGGTGGGATGTGAGAGTGAGAGGAAGTAATGAAGAGAGATATTCCAGTACTGTATATTACTGTCATGTTTGGCAATGGGTTGTCACAGTACATAATGGCACTGTTGGCATTTGAAGCCAAACACAATGGCTTGATGTGATTTGGACTGCTGTCAACATACTCTCTGATCAAATTAACTAGCTGACTAAACTGCACAATACTTTAATTGTGTAACGGACACATGTATCTGGTTTTGTGGACCCTTTTCACTTTTTCATCATCTCTGTCATTTGTCTCATTCAGTGTATAAAATTAATGTTCTGTTCTTCGCTGCTTCTGCCTGGAGTCTATCTATACATGCTGATCGCCCATTCTATCTATCTATCTATCTATCTATCTATCTATCTATCTATCTATCTAAACTCTCTCATGTGTCTCATCAGTGGTATCATGATCTCTTTTATTCGCACAAGATCAGTGGTCCTGATGAGAAGCACATCACTGTTTCACAGTCAGTCACTGTGTCACTGAGACACTGATGGATTACCAGAGTGCAATAGAGAGAAGTCTGCATTGCATGCTTTCCAAAGGAGATTAAAAAAAAAAAAACATATCACAGTTTCACCATGTGTCCGATTATTCACATATATTTCTGCTCTATGCCAGAATGAAGTAAATTCTCTCCATCTAAAGTTAAGATTATGCAAAAACAAAACGGCAAATGAGAGTTGAGGGGTGGAGGGAAGGTGAGAGAGAGACAGGAAGAGAGTGAAAAGGTTAACGTGCATGCATACATGAGTACATTAATACTTAACGCAGAATGAGTGCAGGTTGTGGGGGTGCACGGACAAGGACAGAAATAGAGGTTAACGGGACTGGCGGTAAATAGAAAGAGTGGACTTTATGATAATTTCATTTCCAGAAATATTAACACATTAACACTGCAAGAAAGGGTTAACAAGAATTACCAGAAAGCGAGCGAGGGGTTTGCAAAGAGAGGGGACAAACAAATAAATGAATAAAAAAAGAAAATGCTGGGAGATTCAATTACATAACAGATACTTGGAAGTTCCAGGCAAAGATAAATAAGAAGGATTTTCTCTTACCTTTGATTGTGTGAGTGTGAAAGACTCCCTCATAAACAAGTGAATTCCAAAGCACAGGGGTCTGCACTAACAGGTGGTGCACGAGAGAGAGAGATGGAGAAAGGGGGGAGAGAGAGAGAGAGAGGAGGAGGGGTAGGGAGAGATAGAGAGGAGGAGGAGAAGCAGAGATATTGAGGAGTGAGTGTGTAGCAAAACATCAAAGAATCTATAGGATTACACATGTAGAAATGTGAAGTGGAGGAGGAGGAAGAGAGGGAGGGGAAGATGGGAGGAGAAATTTGTTAGAATGCGCAGTGGCTGGAGAAAAAGTGGGATGGATGGATGTGGAAAGACAAACTGTTTGGACTGAGCCACATGTGCTACAATTTTACTTGCACAATGGCTAATTCCTTTTCCTGTGGGCATGTTTTCTGCTTGTTGTTGTAGTCTCTCGCTCTCTTTCTCTGTCATACTGTGCAACATTATTTTAGTCTGTATTCATTTGCACTGTCAACATTAATAAGCACGGCTCTGTTATCAGTAACTGAAGGATTAAGATTCCTCTTAAAGGGATAGTTCACCTAAAAAAGAAAATCATGTCATAATTTTCTCACTCTCATGTTATTCCAATGTCATAAAAAACAATACTGGACCCACTGAAACTGAAATATCTTTGTTTGTGTTCCACAGAAGTAGGATTGTTGTACAGGTTTTGAATGACATGAGAGTAAAAAAGTAAATGATTTTCATTTTTAGGTGAACTGGCCCTTTAAGAGGATTCTTAATCCTTCATGTATTCACTGATTAAGAAGCCCTGCTTATTAATGTTGACAGGGCAAATGAATTTATGTTCACTAAAATAACACTGTAAACACATTACACCGTGTGACATAGAGATAAAAAGCGTGAGAACTATTTCTTAATCCCTGTTTGTAAGTATTGCACATGCTGTTTTTAATGCAGTATAAATGATTTGCATGTATTTATGCATGCTTGTTTATCCATATTATGTTTCTATTGTCTTAGTTGCTGGCGTTGCAGTGGTGTAAGGGTTCTCACTATGTGCCAAAGGAAGCATCTGTCTCTCTCCCTCCATATAATTTGCTCTAATGATGCCTAATGATACATGCGTGAGAACACAGTCCTACACACACACTTCCACAATTCAATATCAGAACACACATTGTAAAATCAGAACACACTCTTCCACATATATTTTATTTTACAAGGGCTCACTGATCTTATTCCACCTCAACTCTCTTTCTAACTCTCTTCCTCAAGACTGAGTGGGATTAAAGATGGTCTGTAGCATGAGCAGTCTCTCGTTTCTTTGTTTTTCCTCATTAAAAATCTCCCCTGGCTTCATCCCTTTCTTTTTTTCTATCCATTTCACCCTTATTCTTCCCACTCACTCCCACTCCTGTCTCTCCCCCCTATTCTTTCCATCTTTGCCCAGAGGATTTTTTTTGTCTCTTCCTCTGGCATGCTTAAAAATACACGTGTGATTGAGATGGAACGAATCAGAATATTTTTGTCCGTCTCTTTCTTTGTGTATCACGTTGGCTCGACCGCCTCTTTCACAGGTGTGTGGCATATTATATTGTCTGCTTATGAAATCACTCATGTTGTGCCCCTCTCTTAATTTAACTCTTTTTAGGAAGCTATCGTGCTGATCAGAGGCTCTGTGATCCAGATGTAATGAAAGCAGGGCTAAGCGCCTTGCAGATAGCAGAGATAGATAGCACACAGAGGAAAACGCCTCCTGTTACCGCGCAGGCCCGCCGTCCCAATTTACCAGCCTCATGCTACCAATCAGCCCCGCAGCCTCAGTACGTGATCTTTTTTGTCTGAGATCAGGCTGTTATTAACATACTCGGATCAATGTCTTATTGAACCGCTTTAATTAGGTTCTATTCATTTAATGCAAGGCGTAGAGGTCAAGTGGCACTTGATCAGAAAAGGCCCAGAGCAGTTTCTGATTGTGGAGGACTGGAGTTGCTATTAAGAAGAAACAAAACAAGTTAGGAGTTCAAAAGCCAGCAACATTTGCGCCATGGAACTGATTTTGTTGTGGTAGTCGTGATTCAGATTTCATAACTTGCAGAAGGCGGATATTACAAGATCGCTATCGCAGGGTTGAAGACCTTATCATTGAAACGCTGCACAAAACATTAAACAATATGTTGTTGCTTCTTTAAGAGGTGTTTTGATATGTTTGAATTTTGCTGATGCCTCTCATTTTGGATTTAAAATAGGGATTTGGCATATATTTCTGTTAACACTGAACTAAATAGGCCTAGTCTTCGGGGAAACCAGAGGAATTTTCATCTTCCTGACACCAATCTATTGACTTTTGTCTTGCTTTTATAGGATTTTTCTGCATATTGAGTTGTACACATGTACAACTGATTTCAATGCCTTCTGTAAGGGACTTTGGGTATTAATGTACATTTTTACCTTTTGGGATGACATTACAATTAAAGTTATTTTATGTTGTGTTCCAAGTTGCCAAAAAACAAACACATTAAAACAGGAATTATCGGTAATAATTAATGAAAATAGTAGTCTGAAGATACCCATTTTAAATTTTTTAAATTCTAACATCTAAGTTTGACTGCTTTATATTGTGCATAATGCCATTGTAGATATTGTTTTTATGTAGAAGAGATCAGTAATAAGCGAACAGGAGCAGCTTCTGAGGTTTTAAGACAAATTTAAGGTATTACACAAAAAATTCACACCCGGTTTATAATGATATTTATAATAATTGCAAATAATCATGGCAATAGATGTTAAATGATATATCTAGTATTTTGTGAATCAGCAAGTTTAAATTTATATTAACAAATCATTTAAACGAGAAATATCATTACTGAGGAGATGGGGCGGGAGGGGAGAACTCTTCGTACTTGTATACGAACTTGTGCATTAATCTACATCAGGCATAATTTAGTGTACTTTTAGTTCACTTTAATCAGACAATCTTAGTATATTATATCCACATTTGAGACATGTAGCACAAAAACACACACAGAGAGATACAGGCATGTTAAACGAAATGTTAACATATTCTCTGTTCTCCCTCACTCTTGGAAAACCGTATTCCAGTTAGAGGCGATTTAGACTTTAGAATTTAGATCAAGTTCGACTGATTCCAAAACACATTTTTCTACAGACAAACATGCCTTCAAAACAGGAGATTGACACACGGGTTGATTTTCTTAACATGTTTTTTTTTCTTTTTTTTAAGTGAACGTTTAAATGAAAATAAAAGAATAGTGTATGAATGTAAGCTTTCAATGTTGTACAAGTGAAAATAAAGAAAGATCAAAAGAGATATATAGAGGAGAGCTGCTGTTTCTTTTGAGTGACAGTGACACTGACACTAACAGACATCTAAGTGATGATGTCATATCCCCTAAACCCGACCTGGCTGTCACCATGGTAATGAGTTGCTGCACAAGACTACCAATTGTTGTTGAAGTGCACTAGAATGCATGCCATTCGCTTCACTTTCTCACGTTTCTCGTTTAGTCAAACAAAACTCAAATTGAGATTTAATTGGACTCCGGGCATCTGAATTCCTGTCTTGTCAGAGAGGATAAGAGAGAAAAGCACCTTCAAACATTCAGGGAGAGGGTGGGGATTTATGAGTGGAAAGAAGGAGAAGCCTGAAGGGTCTAAGAACAGTGCACATTAATGTGTATGAAATTAAAACTGGATTGTTATCCTCTCAAATAATTAAAGGCCATTAGAGACTAATAGGACCGCGTCTCATTATACAGCCCGTACTGTTAACCAGCTGCTCATTGAGCAGAAAGAGGCGACTATTATAAGAGAAATTGATGGATAATTGGTTTGGTACAAATTACTTGTAAGAAAGAGCACCAGGAGAAGAAAAGTAAGGTATGGGAAGACCAGAGCCAGAAGGTGAGCAGAAAACAGCAAGCAGATTGGAATGACTAAGCGGCATTAAAGCATAAAAAAATAAACACATATTACTTGTGCATGTTTGTTTGTTTTTTCAATATCAGTGTTGGCTGTGAATATATTAGCATGAGCTACAATCCACAGTCTTGAATCCACTGACACTTCAGTGTATATCTAATGAGTAATTATAATCAAGGTAGTCAATAATCAATATTTATCCTCTACATATTAATTGATTTTAACGACTGCTTCAAGCTTCTGATATTTTACTTAATCATAGAATTAGCTGTATGTTTACTGGAATGTGCTCTCTCCGTGTTTTTGAGAGAGACAGCCAACATATGTAAACATTTATTTAATCCTCTAGCTGACCAAAACATCCGAGGTCATTGGGGTCTCTTCAGCCTGTCCCTTACATGCGATTCTAAAGCACTTACTTTACTTATCATTTTCAATCACTAGAGAATTATGATGAATGTTGTCTGTACGTCTAACTGAGAGAAAAAGCATGTTATCAGTGTTTCAACGGAAAGTTTCCTGTTTAGAGCAAGAGCTCAGGGTGGGTGGTGGTGGTGATGATGCAGGGGATAAGACACATGCCCTTGGTGTGAGATACCTGGGTTCGAATCCACTGTGAGACACTAATGTGTCCCTGAGCAAGACACTTAACCTGCTCCAGAGGCGTGCGACCTCTGACATATGTAGAAATAATTGTAAGTTGCTTTGGATAAAAGTGTCAGATAAATGTAAATGTAAAAGCTCAACCAGCTCCAACCTTAAAGAAGCTGCTTTTCTGTGTATGTTTGCTATAGTATTCCTTTTTACAGATCAGTATTGGTGAGGGGAACAACTGACACCCTGGGAGATGGAATGACTTTTCTCCAACATGCTGGAGCCGAGAAACACATTTCTATGACCTAGGTGGGTCACATCGTGCCTAAACCATGGTCCGGTTGTCAGCCGTGTAATCGATGAAGATGCTTCTGTCTATCAGTCCATTTGTGGAAATGTTCTCATTTCTGTGAAATATGAATGTACGGCAGAGCGGCCTACGAACTGCTGATGAAACTGCAAACTATTCTCCAGTACTTCTGACTCTTCATTCATCTGGTCCTTGGGTAACTGTAAAATCCTCAAATACCAACAGGTAAAAAAAAACCTGAAGGTCACTGGCCAAAATGAGCCATTGTTGGATCTTCCATAAGGACAATGATCCAAAAATGAAGCACAAAATAAAGGTTCTGCCATGCCTGACCTGAACCCTACAGAAAATGAGTTCGGAAAACTGAAGAGCAGAGGCACCAACATGGACTTGGTTTCTG